TGTTGTAGAATGACGATCATGGATCTTAACATAACTTGTATTTATCGATTGTGATTTCGACGATTAAACTATTACCATCATTATCTTTTACAACATTATCAAGAGCAAAGTCTATATTTTTAGCAAATAGGATAGCAACACCTCTTGAATTACTACTATAGGAACTGTAGAAGCAGTGTTTACAGCCCCAGTCTTCCGTTACTAACTTTTCCATATCTTCAGTAAAGTGAACATCTTGTAAGCAGTATATAGATGAGCGCTTCTTTTTCAAGAATCTAAACATTTCCCTCCCTTTTTTCCTATTATTCAAACCTCTACAATTTAGAGATGTTATCTTTATCTTAGTCATGTTTTAAGATGATATGCTAACGAGGTGCTCACAATGAATGAATGAGAGTGAGTGAGTGAGTTGGGTTTAACGCTGCTTTTAACAGTATTCCAGTTATATCGCAGCGTGTCAGCTTAATGTGGGAGGAAAGCCCGAAGTGATGCAGGTCTCAGACGTTTACCACTTCGGCGAAACCCACGAGCACGGGTATGGTGCTGACAAACCTAGAAACATAATCGGGTCGAACCGGGATTCGAACCCACAATCATGGGTTTCTGACGTGCCCAAGGGACGCAACTCTGCACAGCGAATCGCGGCGCCTTAGACGACTGGGCCACCCGTGCCCCCTGAATGAATGAGAATATCCCGTAGGTCCAGTATAGTTAGGGAACATGGATGGATATGAGCGGGAGTTGGGTGTAACATTGTCTAAAAGCATATATATCTATAGCACATGAAAAACTAAGAAAAGTATAACAAAAAGTTGATAAAGATGAAAAATGATCGGTAACTGAGCGTTGGGTATTCATGAAGCCAAGTCTCCACGGATGATAACAATTATCATAGTTCACGTCGACAGATTAAATTTAGTAACTATTTCATACTCACACATTTGCATTGTGTCCATGTAATTAATCCAGAAAGGTCCAGAGAATCCATCAAGAAAGTGGGTTACACAGAAAACACAACACAAGACAACGGCATACCACAGAACAGCACAAAAACAGCTCCGTGGTACTGTGGCCACATGGAGCATCTCTCACTTTGCGCGGAAAGCACGTGCAGTTTATGTGTCTACAAATGTGCTTGTCTTATAACTGGTTATTGTTCAGTTGTTTTATCGTATAAAGTATATAAGTCTATTCATTTCATAATGAAAATGAGAGGAAAAACAAATGCTAGCATAACAAAAACACAACAGTGGCACAAACAGAAATTAAAGCCAATTGGCGGGAAAACAAAAAGTTTCGTCACACAAGTTCTCCGAGGACGGTGTATAAACTAGGTGTTGGAAATCATAGACCACCCGATCCTGTTAGTCGCGACGCAGTGTCACCTCTTAGGGCAAGCATGGCTTGTTGAAGACCTATTCTACCCCGGATCTTCACGGGTCCCATCTCTCTACACAAATTTGGAACTTGCTTCCACTGAAACTGTCAGTGACATAATTTTCCTTTCCAATAAGTGCGACAAAACATTTCCATTATCATAAGAAATCACTGTTAAAATCAATATAATATAATCGATAATATAATACCGAATATATCACAAACGTGTGTAGGACTATCAGCACGTTTCAATATGCTGAAATAATCTCTGCAAATCGTCAAATATAGGAATTAAAACAGTTTTACTACATTGGTAAATGTATGCATTGTCAGCAAGGATTGTGTGGCTAAGGCTTGAACAGCTTACATGGACTCAAAATGTACAGTTCTCCCTTTTAATGATTTTGTTTACCGTATTTCCTCTATTAGACGCCTGGGCTTCTTTTACTTCGGACAAGCCTTTGACCCGGCGTCATGGAGGCCGGGCTTCTATTAATACCCCGGAAGAGAAAGGGAGTCCTCATTATGTAATTTACGTCCCCAAAAGGGATAATTAATTGTATCGATTGATCGACCGGCGTCCACTAGAGGCCCGGCTTCTATTTTTTTGCACTGAACAACTGACCCGGCTTCTATTTGAGGCCGGCGTCTATTAGAGGCTTGGCGTCTAATAGAGGAAATACGGTATGTTATTATGTGAATAAATCGTTTTAGGAAATTAGTGTTTCACATCTCTGTTCTAAAATGGGTAATTATACTTTTTTTTAAATGTTGGGGGGGGGGGGGGGGGGGGGGGGTGTCGTGAAATATAAATGTTAATACCAAGTATTAGAACAAAGATATGTGTTGACGACAAACATGCCATGCAAGAACGTTTATGTCTGTTACCGTACTATTATTAAGCAATTGTTATATAAAAACCGTTTTGAGTAATTAAGCTTGAATTTAAATGCTAAATTATCTATTTGGTAAATATAGGATTAAATTATTTGGGGTACAATATATATATATATATATATATATATATATATATATATATATATATATATATTCACTTATAACGTTGGCTTTGTTGCGGACTCATCAATCGCTTTAGGCAAATTGGTAAGAGCTGGATCGCTCACATGTCAGCACATAGAAAATTTAGTCATAGTGCCAACGTACGTCAATGGCGTACACAACGTCGAAACAGGTAATCGTCGCTGGTCACGTGTAATGTTTTCAGATGAGCCCTGCCAACCGTGCACGAACCGTCAATGCTCACTACATGCATAGAATGACATGGTCAGCAATGACCCCAGACCTTTTCCCAACTGAACACGCTCATGACATGATAGGGAGACGTGTGTGTCAACGTCATAGGCCGCCGACCACGTTGGCTGAACATGGCCAGGCGCTTCAAGAGGATTGGGACTCCCTCAAATCGAAGTTTGAAGAGACTCATACGCAGTATGCCTCGTAGAGTGAATGAATGTTTGACACATCGCGGTGGTATTATGCACTACTGATCCAAAAACGTTAAATTTCCCATCTTACCCCCATCGTCCATGGTTCGCGGTCATAACATCTACTGCCATGTGTTCCCAATTTGTTCATTATTTTAACATACAGTTATTACGTAAAACTATTTTTCTTATAATAAACCCTTATTTTTTATGCAAATTGTGTGAGTGGCGGGAGTACGGAGTCCCAGTAGGGCAGGACATTACGACTCTTTCCGCGAACACCGGGTGTATCACGGATTTTCAGTGATCCATTCATTTAGTTTGCACCGCTATTTTGTCTTTTGCGCTAAACGGAATCTGTTTCATCGGATCATCAAGACTGGTCATGCTCTGGTGTTGACGTTTAATATTTCTACTCGAATTAGCAAAATTGAAGCACTAGCGTTCGGCCAAGGACTTCAATTGAGTTTCAGGTATATGATCTTAAACCGTCACATAGCAAAACCCCTACCACTGATTTACATAAATTAGTACCCGTGATGATCCGGGGAAGAATAGGTCTTCAGCAAACCATGCTTGCCGTAAGAGGCGACTATGCTTGTCGTAAGAGGCGACTAACGGGACCAGGTGGTCAGGCTCGCTGACTTGGTTGATACACGTCCTCGTTTCTTAATTGCGTGGATTGATGCTCATGTTATCAATCACTGGATTGTCTGGTCCAGACTCTATTATTTACAGACCGCCTCATATAGCTGGAATATTGCTGAGTGCGGCGTTGAACAACAGACCAACCAACCACACATAATGTTAAGTGATCTGCTTGCTTGATGAGTTCGGAGCCTCACATAGAAAAAATTGCATGTCAGTGAAATCTGTTGTTGTGGACACTATGTCATAGAGTTATTTCGTTGTCACAAGTCAGTAAATAAGTATCACGTGCAGTATACAGTATATCAAGTGCAATATACAGTATACCACCTGATGTATTGAGTGAGTGCTGGGCAGTGCTGCCTGTACATAAAATAAGAGATGTCGGACATTGCCGGGATCGTATTCGGGGAGTCATTATTCAAATACGGGTGGATGTTTATAAAGCTTGTACAATTTATTTACATCCTTAAGTCTGTACAACACGTAGATATCCCATATAAGAAAGAAACGACTTCTTCAGCCACCAATGGCAGTTGGACTTGGTTGATGCATGTAATCGTATCTCAAATGCGTAGATCGATGCTCGTGATGGCAATCACGGCATTGTCTGGTCGACTCCATTATTTACAGACCGCCATCACATCACTGTAACAGTGCCAAGTGTGGAAACAACAAAGAAACAGTGCTTAATGTATGAGGAAGTGATACAGGTCACTGATTAGTCTTGTTAATGCCCATTAGCAAGAGTATGGAGCAGACATACCAAGGATCAGACTTTGGGGGATTCAAATGGGTATCTTGTGGATCCTAACAAGTCTAAGGAATGTGACACTGTACAGGGACTCGCTACTGACCTCTGGCCTAGATACGAGCTCTGCGATCTCTCAGGAATAGAATCATCCATGGGATGGGATTGTTCTATCAAAATATCTGGATCTGCAAATATGTTTGCCATCCAACTGCTAGCCACTGCATGCCACAATTTTAACTTTATTGGTTGGTTCGTTTGTTGTTTAACAACGCACTCAGCAATACTCCAGCTATATGATGGCGGTCTGTAAATAATCAAGTTTGGACCAGACAATACAGTGATTAACATCATGAGCAACAATCCACGCAATTGGGATCGATGACATGCATCAACCAAGTCAGCGAGCCTGACCACCCACCTCCTAGAAACAGCACAGTTGGCTGTCGCCTGTTACAGCAGGCATGGGTTGCTGAAGATCTATTCTAACCGATATCTTCAGAGGTCATTTTCTTTCTTTCTTTTTTTAAACTTGAATACCACTCAAACACAATATACTGACTCAAGCTGATCAGTCCATGTTTTATACCCCTAATGCCAAGTGTAAGGCAGGGTAACAACAAGTACAATCTTTAAACATCTTTTGGTGAGACGCGGATGGGAATTGAACCATCAACCGTCTGCTCTCTTGGCAGATGCTCTATCCATGAGACCACTACCAAAAGAACATCTCACCTAAACTAAAACACCAGGCCATCATAACAATAACAGAACTCATATTTGTTTCATGTTTTATTAAGTGTTTGTATTTATATTCTATATGATGGAGTACGTGTCTCTCTTCTCTGTACAAAAGGCAGAAGCTACAGGCTGAAATCACAGATGCCAGCACACAATAGGCATAACACCTACAGAAACATCGGCCCACAATCTCTTCAGGACAGATTCCACACCAAGACCACACCAACCTCCTGTGATATTTGGTATTAAACAGAAACACTTATTGTGAGGAAACTTAGATTTGGCTGAATAGGTACAATATATACATTTACCCTCCTCTCTGTATATGGGTGTTAGTCAGCTGAAAAAGAATTACAGTCTGTGGCAATACAGAACTTTAAATACCAACTTGACAGTAGAGCTCATAGCTGTACAAGGCTTGTATTGGGATGTATATCCTTTCCATAGTTAATTATTTGGAAGATATAAAAAAAACTTAAACCAATGAGCAGATATGCTAACCAGGGAACTTAAACATTAATTTATTTTGAAACTCTTGCAATAGTTGCAAGAAGTGCTGTTTTGGTTTTGTCACACTGCCCTCAGACACCTTACATAGAATCAGGATTTGATTATTTCAGGTTTTGACCAAAAATATCTCAAGCAAAGACAGATTCATTGAACATTTATCCATAACAGAAAATAAAATAAAATATATTACACAAGTTAAATCAACTGAAAAAGAATTCATTTCTATGTCAATGAACTATTTTACTTTAAAGAATCAAAAGAAAACATATTGGATCGAGTTGAGAATCAACATTTCTGATATATCTGCCAATACACAGGGCAAGATGTGCTTTCAAATAAAACAAATTTTGAAGTAATGAAAAACAGCCATGGCCTAATGCATATATATATTATCCGAGTATTTTTCAGTGAAAAAATACTTTTCACACACACACCCAACTGTGACTATTTCTGGTGACCCTTCCCTTCTTCCCTCCCTTCTTCCCTCCCTAATCAATTACCAGTAGTACTTTTTACCATTGCTCATACTGATACATATTATTCAGACAAGATCTAGACAGTTCAGTCACCAACAAACATAGCAGGACTATAAAAGTTCCTAATTACCTCATATTACCCAGAAGGGTAGAATGATTGTGTTAAAAAACCCTCCGATATTGGTACATGCTTTTTAGTGATTGTCAGTGCTGATTGGTCAATTGAAGATATGACTTCACTCTGCTTCATCGTTCATCCATTGTTCATGACATCACAAATTGTTTACATGGCGTTATCTGAACAATAGACTCTCTTCAGTGAACTCTCTGTAGGGTTGACATTTTATGTATTTTCTTCATTTTCACTTAAAATGTCAATGAGGAATATACAGAACCTACTCAAAATTTGAAATTACGGATTATCTGTCCCTCGAGAATGATTGCTGTAAGTGGCTGGCCAAAGGAGGAGGTTAATTTAACACCATTCATTCACTTGGATCGGAGTATCCGTAATTCCTCTTAACCCGTCGGTTATTCTCTACTTATTTCCCCAAGCCAGGTCTACTCAAGAGTTGACTGTATCAAAGATCCAATATAACCACTATGAATACCCATGAAGACGAAGCTATCATTAAATGCCTGATATGACCAAACTAGGAAACAATGTAAAAGGCATGCATCTTAAAGAACAAAATACACATTCACATTTGTAAATAAAAAGATGTTATAAATATTTTTGCAAAGGTATCTTTTCTCTTAAACTAAGAATTTGTTCCTTGCATGCCAATTTCACACAATTTAAAAGCAAGACTCACACAACTGATCTTAACAACAAAATAACACATGGTAGACACAGATATCCCTGAAAATGTATGGAAAATGTGAATCTGAGAAAATAAGGACTTCAGTAGTTATTGCTCTTCTATACCAGAAAGATGCAGAAATAAAAAGGAGAAGTAATTAAGAAAAAGTTACTTAATCTGATGACTATGTTTAGTCCTATTTTCTCAGAGTTGGAGAATAATGGAAATATGTGAGCATGGCCACTGAGCAACAAGCACGAACTATAAAACAGAACCTAGCACCCGTGTCTCTCTGTTGATATACTAAACTTGTTGATAAAGTATGCCACAGATAAAGGTTCATGCAAAATGTACGTTGTTCTTCCTAAAGTACTGTTCACAGAAAGCAGGAATGAGGAGATGTTGATCTTGCAAGGGGGCACTGTCTGCAACACACCACCAGGTATCGGAAACATTACATCTGCAAAATTTTAGAGTGAGGTAGAAGACCTTTCGTCACAAATGAGAGTTACATTTTCTGTATTCTATTCAAGGCAGTGCCCAGGTTGAAAGCATTTCAAGTCTTTTCAAGTCTGGGAAGAAATACCTACTTAGACTGACAGTGATAATGTTCCTTGGTTCAAACAAAAGTAGAAGTGGACTGGGAATAGGGCCAAAGACCATCTCCCCAGCTCCTACTTCTGTGGTGTGGTGTGGTGTGGCGTGGTGTGTGTGGTGTATGTGTGTCTGTGTGCTTTCCTACTTTGCGTGAACAGTTCCTTCAAGAGGAAAATGAAAGAGTATGGTTTTATGCCTCTTTTAACAATATTCCAGCAATACCATGACAAGCACACAAACAATGGGCTTCACACATTGCACCCATGTGGGGAATGGAATTGAACCCGTGTCTTAAGCATGACAAGCAACCCCTTTAACCACAAGGCTACCACACTTGCTGGTACGTCTACATAGAAGCCAACAACTCCACGTAATCGGGTGCACCTGCCCTGCTTTGTTTGATATCTGGTGAATGTGAATGAAAAGTAGTGAGTGAGCGAGTGGGATTTTATGCTGCTTGTAGCAATATCTTGGCGGGGGACACCAGAAATGGGTTTCACACATTGTACCCATGTGGGGAATCGAACCCGGGTCTCCAGCATGATGAGTGAACGCTTCAACCACTGGGCTACCCCAATTCCCTTCAGTAAAAAGTGAAGGTGCAAGATCAGCGATGCAATTTGATTTTCTTTACCCGTGCCCTCTTGAATATTGAAAAACAAATACCTATATAACATTTCCAATCTTACACTTTGTGATATCAGGCAATTAACAAAAGGGCAATCCCAGCACAGATATTACCTAAAAATAGGTCAGCATAATTGAACGAAGAGAAGCTGCAAAAATCTCATCTCAACATATCTAAAGATTTCACAACAAAATAAACCAGAAAGAATCTGTAAGAAAGACCAAGCTCCGTGCAAGCTGGTGACGAATCAGACTCTGTACATGCTGCATAACATGGTGTCACTGTGAGGAGCTTAGTAAAATAGGTGTGCACATGACAGGTAGAATCCTGATTATCTGCTGATACCTGGTACGAGATTGTGATTAGGATGCAGTTTTAAAAACATTGGATTGAATTTTGTATCCACACTCGGGTGAAGTGATGGTTTAGCACTACTGTCACAGGCTAATTCTTGTATCACGTGACCAGGTTTATCTCTTGTTTGATAATAAATGCCCTAATTCTAAATTCTGACCAGCCTAGTGGAAGCGTTTCAATATGACTTACAGAATGTTTTTCCCAATTTTAAAGATATGCTACTACAACTGCGCCAGTGAGGAGTGGGAGAGTACGTCTGTACATATCAAAATGACCGTACTACTAGCTAGCTGTAGGGCTTCCATGTCTGCACGTGGGACTGTACAACCTAAACTAGAATTAATACGCAATGGAAATAGTTTTTCATGTTTTGTCATATTTTCTCAATGAAAGCTAACAATTTCATGACATATGTTTATCTAAATGTGTACTTTTAAAATTGGACGAAAAGCTTATGTAAATTATTGAATGGACTGGGTAAGATGTGACAAGTCATCACATCTGGCTTGCCTGTGGCAGAGGTACCAGGTTAAACCGCAAGAACTCTGGGCAGGAGATTGTTTTTGATCAGAGCAAGTAAAAAAATAGTAGTTTAAAGAAAATGATAGAAATCGTGCCATATGCAGCTATGATGTCGCAACTTTAACAGATTGTTATAATTATTAAAAAATATGTTATTGAAAAAATATGTATACCATTAAAAGTTTGTCAAAAGTTGACGTCTATTGTTCGGTACACAAAAACGAATATGACAAAAGAAGGAAATTAGATGAACACCAACCCAAACAATTGATACAGACGTGCTTACAATGTGGGTCGGTTTGAAACTCTACTTGCATAATTAAAGGACATACAAATGTACAACTATCACAAAGTACAGAGAGGGAAATCATCTGATAGTGTGAAATCCTCTACTTTTGAGTTTATTATATAAATCTAGGACTATTATTGATACTGATTCATATTTACAAATAGTTCTGAGATTATGCAAATTCTGTACATTGATATTACCTCACATTTAAATACAGTGATGTAACCATGGTAACCTCAGTCTATTGGCTCATTTTAACAGGGCTGTAACGAAACACTTTGTCGCGATACGATACATATCTCACTAGTAATGATACACACTACATAAGATACGACAAATATCTCACTGTACTGTCGAAGTACAAGAACCTATACAGTATACAATATCTCACCAGTTGACATGTTACAGAGCTGTATCTGATCATAAAGATAATGAATAGATAAAATTTGTTATTTTTGGGTTAATCAAACTGGCTTGGGAACTGTTACATGTAATGTCAGAAAGTAGTACCATACGTTCATCTTTATGCCATTTTACTAACACTTCTTTAAAATTGAATAATTTCGTACTGATATGTAATCTCAGAATTCAATAGTTGTATCGTGCTGCATCCTTGTTAATCATCACTGCCCCTCTTTTAAGTACGACATTTGACCTGCGTGGGACTTCAGGGGTAAATCTTTGCAAGACTGATTTCTCTACAGCTCCAACATAATGAAAGTCTGCCACACTTTTGTTCAACAACACACTGGCCAAGTAGATCTATACAAAATAATAACAATAATAACTATGATAAAACATGAATCTGAATTCAGTTGACACAATCACACAGCAAGAGTACATCAAGCTTGACAGCTAGTAGCTTTAACGTAGAAAACTACAAAATTGGCACATCAAAATATTGGTTAATATCATTTGTTTCACATACACATGCATTTGAAAAATAGAAACTAAAGAATTGACTCCATATAACAAAAGTTTAAGAAACTGAAAGTGTGGTTAAAAAAATATGTCGTGAAGATTTTCACAAATTCTAACATAATGATATGAGTTTTTAGGAAAATATAACAAGAACTAATTGACTCCGGCACTTCAAGATCATGCTGACACTACTAATCTTGATGGAGAATAAAACCATCCAATCCTCATTAGGAGAAACTGAAAAATGTCAGGAACTAATTTTGAAACATTAACAAAAGTCTTTTCTTTCAGAAAACATACTCAGAAACTAAATATACATAATACTGATAAACATTGACCAAAAATGAATGACTGCGAAACACGGCCGAAACTTCTGAAATAAACTACTCCTAATAGAATAAAAACAATGTTCAACATTTCAGAAAGAGACTTATCAAATATGGCTAAAACAAAACTCCCTGCAAAATGTTGCATATCATGATAAATCCCACGTACACATTCAGCAAATCATGTCATCGACAGCATGGTGTACAAACATTACCACACTCTGTACTGAAATCATAAAACACATTTCTTACATTTTAACTCTGCTCACAAAGCTCTGTACACTAATATCTCACCATTCACACCATAGTAGCAACACCATTCACATCCTATCTTGTGTGACATCAGCGAATCAGTGGCTTAAAACCACTTTGAACAATAGTTCAGCTTAATAATGAAGAAAGCCCAAAGCGATGTTGGACTGAGGCCATCCAACCTGAAACCCTCCAGCCTGGGTAAGTGACTGGCACACCAAGGATCGTTCAGAGCAACCTGGGATTCAAACCCATCACCAGCAGATCCTGGCCTAACAAAGTGTTATTGACGTGTTTAATATTAGGTCCTTTATCTTAACCACAAACCAAGTTTATAATACTTTCAAGCAAAAACCCAAATATGAATGATAAAAACATAAATAAGTATAAGTGTTTCACATTGTAATTCGATTGAGTTAGCAAGATAATGTCAGCGATATGAAAAACAATATCATGAACATTAATTCATCACAAGCTGAAAATAAGCTAAATGTGTCTGAAAGGACTGTAAACCAATATTTCTTTCACATCTTAAGTAATCAATCTCACTCAAATCAGATCTTAGTGCTCGCTCGGTGTAGTGGTATTGAGCACTAAGATCTGATTTCAATGAGGTTGTGAAGTAAGTTGATATTCATGATTCAATCTTCTCCTTGAATGTCACTGTTTTCAGTGTACAACAGAACCACCAAGATGAAATAATTTTGTTTCATATATACACTTTTATATACATAAATCATTTTGTAAAGTATATAATTTATTTAAAAATCTGAATACATAAAATACTACTTCTCTTACAGAAATCATACCTTAGTTTTATCACAACAGTTAAGAGAATCTAGCCCCCTGTATTATCGCATCTCTGCAAAAGACATAACTTCTACATCTACTGATACCATCACAGACTTCTACTCGACCTTCCTAAGACTGCCATCGAAGATCTGTTGGGAAACAATAAGACAGAAGCAGCTAAATCATTCACCTCATGCTGATTAGAAACACAAGTCAGAAACATTGTATTGCTCTCAGACTGATCATTAATGATAGGGGCTTGCGAAGCGATCGATTCATTCATGATTGTCAAGAAAACAAAGATGTAAATGTTATATTTTGTTTGTCCATTTTTTATGACCCTTTCCAAGATGACATAAAAAATGATGAACATCAAACAAATATTACCAATCATATAACAGCAAGCGTTTTTTTATATTTCTGATAATGTCTAGCTCCAAATATGTACTTCGTTACGGCCCTTCACGATTCACTCCGACCATGCTACCCCTATGATAAATGACCAGCTATTTTATGGGAATAAGAAGTTGAAACAAACAATATTCTACATGTTGGATAAACGTGACAACGTTGGCCCTCTGGTGGTGGTCCTAATGGTTAGTTATTACAACATATTATGATTAATCTTACACAACTATATACAACTTCATATAAACCTCAGTTCAAGAATATCTGTACACGAATTTGCATTGAATAACTGATGGTTGATAAAAATATTAAACCCCATCAACATTTAACATGCAACATAAATTAACTGTATATTTCCTCAGTAAAGTGCTCAGAGTGATCTTAGCACTGTTTATGTCATGTGAACCTTTAACCAAGTGATCAGAGCTCTGACAATTATTGTAGGAATAGGAATGATCGCTAAAGCAGTCATTGCATTGATCTGCAACACTGGGTCCCATACAAGGGACTACTCCCCATGAAACAAATCTCCCTTGGCTGTTTGTTTGCAAAGCCCTGTTACTGTCCTCAAAATGGCTTGAGAAATACCTTGAACTAATCATTCATTTAGGAGCTAAAACTGTCTTTGAGAAGCAGAGTCCAGGCCAGCACACAGGCTTATTATAAGCCACCTAACTAAGTCTGACCAGTAGGGGTACACTGTAGTCACTGGTCTGTGTTATATCCATGTTATGGCATCCTTGTCAGGTTGTGCTGTTACTGTGTGAGTGAGGGAAAAAAAGTCTCCATAGTCAGCAGATGTATCGGTCAGCAGACATATCAAGTCTGGACCAGACAAACAAATGGTCAACAGTGGTCACCTACAGCCAGGTTGTGACTGAAAGTTGATCTTTCTGGATCACACATTTAAAATGTACTCCTGCTCAGGAACCATTGTGACCACCCGATCCCCAATCGACCTGTCCTGATGAACATGGCAACCATGGCCCTGTATGGCCCAGGAATCCAAGTACAGATCTCCAACCACAATAACTGCTGAGAAAGCAACGAATCCCAGAATGACTACCACAATAACTGCTGACTGAAATACCAAGGGCCTCACATCCATGAAGTCATCCCAGCTCTGAATCAAATCATTACCAAGAAGTTCTTAGAGCCACAGTGCTAAGAACACCCAGGAACAACCCCTAAGTAAATAGTTGTTGGACATGAGCAGTTTAGCAGAACCACTAGTACTGCTGTAAAATAATTTCATAGCAAAATAGGCATCTATGACTATAATAAGTGTTCAAACATGGTGAAATACTCCACCCAATCTATGATACATGATGGAGCCGGGTGTTATCAACACAAATCCCCTAGCCAGGGACAGATCTGTTTTATCACATTGCTTAAAGGCTGAAGTTAAGCACACACTCTGAAGCTGACATGGATATATACACGTATAACTCGTAATGACCACCAGGATGAGGACTTGTTCATTACAGTATTCAAGGCTGTGCATACATGCTTCTCAATGTAAAACAAAGTGTTACACATACCAACACCAATGATATAAAACGGAGGAGGATGAGCTATCTACAGGATGAAACAGCAGACTCATGAACTGTGTACATCTTCATCTCTGCCGGGACACACTAAGCAGGCTACATAATACTGTAAATATGGTGTAGAGATGAGTGGACTCGCTACACATAGCCTACATGCTGATGCCATTTAGTGATGGCACACCATCGTTTGTTCGTAAAACTAACAGAATGGATACAATTTAACCATGGATATTTCAATACATATTGTCCACAAACATTAACCACTGAAAGTCAAGGGGACATAACTCTAATGTATCTGAGAGTGAGGGGTTCCCTAGGTCCATGTACTACAGAAGCAAACCTCAAGGTCCCCTTAATTTTGTTTGATGCAAACAATTATTGTTTTTATCTGAATAATTGATAGAGTGATGTTCTATTTAACAGATGTTGCTTAGTCCTTACAGCTTTTATATTTGGTTTACGTGATCAAACGGAAAAAAACACACTTGAAATTAGAAAAGAAAAATTACGTTTCACAGTTAGGTAAAATGGAAACAAAGATCTTATCACCAAAATTCATAAGAGATGGTGACTGATACATATGAAATCTATTTAAAAAATCCAAAACAATCAATTATCTTTTAGTATCTTGCCATGTCAAAACTTCCTTGTTTTACATTCATTAACAGCAGTACTTATCTTGAAATTTTATGTTTCTTTTTCGACCACCTACACTGAATTTCAGGCCAATTGTTTTGTAAACCAATTAATAAAACATACATACATACTTATCAAACATCCCATGTACAAGTGTGAATAAACATATAGGACTTAACTACAACTTGAGCAAAGCTGAATGGACACAGGTATGTTTTAAGTAAGAGCTGTGACTGCTTCCTCCACTATCACACTTTTCTCAGTAGAGCAGAAGGTCTGTTGAGTCCGATCAAAACATGAGCGATGAATGTGCAGTCTGTCACAAAAAATAAGTCTTTTCCCCTTTAGGGAAACTTTGCACCATATGAAGCTGTACATATTTGAAATAACATTAAAATCTGTTGCTATGGTTACGATTATTCGTCGTCGTCTGCAACATATGCCAAGGGGAAGTAACCAATCTGAAAAACATAAAGATAATAATTAGGAATCAAAGATAATAATTAGGAATAAAAACACAAAAACAGTAATAGCTACATCAATGGAGGGACGGTTGTTGGCATTAGAAAAAGATAGCTGTACAACATTTGAAAAGTGTATACTGGTGCATTGCAATCACGTCTTCACGTTGTAATTAGAGCTAGATGTGAATTTGAGGCATTGTCTCAGGTTATTTGTGGACTTTAGCCATCAGTTTTCCTTTTCATTGCGGCCAATTGTGCAACAATCTCCCTCTACAATTGAGACAGTCTCCAAGCTTTTCACTCTTCAAGTTTCGCCTGAAAACTCCTCTGTTCCTGATCGCCTTTCAAGATTAACTCTTTCATTGTGTTTGTGAGCCTTGAGCATGCATTGTGCATGGAATAATGCACTAAAGATGTTGTTATTATTATTATTATTATTATTAACTGTAAGACAGCCATCATAAAAACTAACTTAGCAGACACATGTAATGCTGTTTAAACAACTTGAATCTAACTTGCAAGGATCACAAATTTGGAGAGACTAGTGATGTCAGTTGATTGTGAAATGATGGTAACCAATGACATCACAGTGGTCTGAAGAGCATTGTGATGTAAACTCATTGTAGCATTATCTCCTGTGGAAGCCAGGGGTGTGTTGCAAACAGCCAATCGCTTGCAAGTGATATACAGCGATTTGCCTTACAATGGAGCGCTAGCTTTCAGCCACTTGCAATCGCACCAATCCCTGTCTGAGGTCGCTTTGTTCTCAAACCAAAATTGCCATCAAACCATAGCCATTTTGGAAGCACATCGAGCTGTTGCAGACCTGGGGTGAGCGATGAAATTGCTTATTCTAAGCGAATCGTGGCTTGCAACACATCCCAGTTTTGGATGTTAAATAGAGTGAGTGAGTGAGTGAGTGAGTGAGTGAGTGAGTGAGTGAGTGAGTGAGTGAGTGAGTGAGTGAGTTTGGTTTAATGCCTCTTTTAACATTATTCCAGTTATATCGCGGCGTGTCAGCTTAATGTGGGAGGAAAGCCCGAAGTGATGCAGGTCTCAGACGTTTACCACTTCGGTGAAACCCTTCTAGCACGGGTATGGTGCTGTCAAACCTAGAAACATAATCGGGGCGAACCGGGATTAAAACCCACAATCATAGGTTTCTGGCCCCCGGATGTTGAATAGACATAGATGTGGTAAACCATATCATATTGTAGGCTCAGATGCCAGCAGATTGTTATGTGTGCCTAGTCCTCACCTTGAGTGACCGTAAGTTCTGCCCCTTCCACCACCCCTTGTCACTGCCGTTCTTGCTGATGACTGCAATCCGGTCGTTAGACTTCAAGCTCACTTGTGTGGTCGATGTAGCTGCATAGTCGTACACGGCAATAGCGTAGCCTAGAATTCGGGGATTTGCTGAAAGACATATTTGCAAATGTATCATTAAATTCATAAATTACATGTGGAGTGGTTTCAAGTCACACTCGTTGAGTACATCACAAAACTGACATTTATCTAAATTTTCATGAGAACAATTCTTTGCAATATTAATATAACCTGCCCCTTCTCACTGCACAGCACTGTACATTACCATGAATGTGTTAGCAAAACATCAATCACCCTTCGTATTTTTAGATATTATTATTTAATTTACTGTTAAATTCTGACATGTTTTCTTACATAAAGAACATATTGTGTGATCATTTTCAAATGTCCCTGGCTGAAAACTCCTGATTGGTTTTTTTTTAGCTAAAACAGCCAAACTCCTCATTTTGTTATGATTCAGACAATATCTTTCATGGTGCAAGGTATTACTTTCATTAGGTTATTGTTAGGGTGGTTTGTATAGGAAAGGTGATATCAACTACTTGATCTTGGTGTCAGTAGGTTGTGTAGTTGTATTACCAAGCGAGTGAATATGTTCAAGGCAGCTGTCAACAATATTACAACTATATAATGGCAGTCCTCAGTAATCAGTTCAGGGCCAGATGATCAATAGTTATAGGAGCAATAATCTAGACTGTGATGTATTCAATGACAATCGGCCAGGTCAACCAGTTTAACAAACGTGGCCCTGTGACTATAGGTCCCACGTGTCACTTTGAGCATAGATCCCATGTCATTTTAAGCATAGATCCTACATGCCACTTTGAGCATAGATCCTACATGTAGCTTTGAGCATAGATCCCATGTGCCACATTGAGCATAGATCCCACGTGTCACTTTGAGCACAGATCCCATGTGTCACTTTGAGCTTAGTTCACACGTGTCATCATGAGCATAGATCCCACATGTAACATTGAGGATAGATCCCACGTGTCACATTGAGCACAGATCCCATGTGTCACTTTGAGCTTAGTTCACACGTGTCGTATTGAGCATAGATCCCACGTGTCACATTGAGCACAGATCCCAAGTGTCACATTGAGCATAGATCCCATGTGTCACATTGAGCATAGATCCCACGTGTCACTTTGAGCATAGATCCCACGTGTCACTTTGAGCACAGATCCCATGTGTCACTTTGAGCTTAGTCAACACGTGTCATATTGAGCATAGATCCCATGTGCCACATTGAGCATACATCCAACGTGTCATATTGAGCATACATCCCATGTGTCACATTGAGCATAGATCCAGCGTGTCATATTGAGCACAGATCCCACGTGTCACACTGAGCATAGATCCCACGTGTCACATTGAGCATAGATCCCACGTGTCATATTGAGCACAGATCCCACGTGTCACATTAAGCATAGATCCCATGTGTCACTTTGAGCATAGATCCCACGTGTCATATTGAGCATAGATCCCATGTGTCATATTGAGCATACATCCCACGTGTCACATTGAGCATAGATCCTACTTGGCACTTTGAGCATAGATCTCACATGTTACTTTGAGCATAGCTCCCAAGTATCACTTTGAGCATAGATCCCACATGTTACTTTATGCATAGCTCCCAAGTGTCACTTTGAGAATAGATCCCACGTGTCATATTGAGCACAGATCCCACGTGTCACATTGAGCATAGATCCCACGTGGCACTTTGAGCAAAGATCCCACGTGGCACTTTGAGCACAGATCCCACATGTCACATTTGGCATAGGTCCCATGTGTCACATGGAGCATAGGTCCCATCCATGACAAGCAGATCTATAGATTAAGTATAATATAAGTATAAGTAATAAGCCACAGGCTTGGGGTATGATGACACCAGGCAGGTAACCATATGATCCCCATAGTTAGTTTGTTATTTAATGCTGCACTCAGTAATATTCCAGCTATATGATGAAGGTCTGGAACAGTCAATCCAATGATTGACATCATGAGCATCAATCTAAGCCTGACCACCTGATCCTTTTGGTCGCCTCTTACAGCAAGCATGGGTTGCTGAAGACAAATTCTAATACTAATATGCACAGTTAGTTCTCATAAGTCTTGTTCAAAGTCACAGTCAGCAATATCACATCTAAGTCCAGGCAGCCTTTATCAACTAGATGCCTGACAACCTTCAGGCTGCCAGCATGAGCAACCCTTCACGTTATCAGGCTTCGATGGCACACTATACGGCAGGTTACACATTGTCTCCCCTGGTTTCTAGTACAAAGATAGTGGGGACCCATTCCCCCCCTGACTGCCCACAAGATGATAACCATCAGCAACTCACAGACACGGCAAGCGGATGGAGTCCCACCTGAGCAACAGATACCTTGTATAGTAGGCATGTCCCAATATCTCACGACATGATATACATATATATACAGGCTGCAGTATACTGGATACCTGTCAGCCATACCTGTTGGTGTATCTAATATGGAGGCAAATTGAAGAAATATGCTCCTAAAGCCATAAAATGAATCTGCACTTGTTAGGATTTATATATTTAAACCTCAAAATTCTATGGCAGTACATTTCATTGACATGTAAAATAAGATGATCTGATCTTCATCTCGAAGGCATAAAGAAACCAACCCAGTTTTCATGTCTGGAAAAGGTTCCTACACACGTCTGAATTTGTAACAGCAATATCTGTGGGGGGCAAAGGCCCTGGAATAATTACAATGACAGCTGAAAAAACTGGGAAGCTGTTACTTACAAAATGGTGAATGCCTTGCCAAACTCTAATACTGTAATTTATCACAAGACAGATAGGCCCCTGTGTACAGGGCTCATCTGGGATCACCTGCTATAGTACTAACAGTTCTACAGGGACTCTCTGGTCCAGTCAAGGCAGAAGGAAATACTCAATAGTTTATTCAAAACTGAGGCTAGCCACTGCACTGTGTTTAACCAACAAATGATTTGCCCAAATGCACTGTATAGTACATAGTCCATTCAGAATAAGTTGAAAGTTATAAGAAACTATTTTTCAGCCACAAAGTAGGGAAAGTCTGACGGTTGTGTTTTGAGTGCTTTCCTAACTAATGTCTACGCAATATGGTCTGTCTGTTTAGTGAACATCAGTCCAAATGAATGATTGATTTGTTTGTTGTTTAATGCTGCAATCAGCAATATTCCAGCTATATTCTGTAAATAATCCAAGTCTGGACCAGACAATCCAGTGATTGACATCAAGAGCATCAATCTATGAAATTGTGATACGACATGCATCTGACCACCTGGTCCTGTTAGTCGTCTCTTTTGACAAGCATAGGTTCCTGAAGACCAGTTTTAACCCTTATCTTCACGGGGACCAAATGAATGAGCTGAAGGCTATATGAAGTGACGAAGTGTGCTGGCTATATGAAGTGACGAAGTGTGCTGGCTCCATCTACAAGGTCCAGACCAGAGACTACCAAATGGACATACCTCCTTCATTGTTGACATTCCGGATGGGTATTCTGAGTGTTGTGTTGACATCGGGGAAGCTGTCCCGCAACGAGTTCTGTTGGTAGTGTGAAACGAGTCTCTGCAGGCACAAGAGATGGACAGAATCAACATACTGTTCAAGTGGTTCTCACTAATGTGTGAAAAACTACTCACCTCACCTTACTTCAGTAGAGTTTACTCTGTACATATGGGTTCTCATAATCTTAGCTTACTAGATGGAAAGACATTTTACTAGAACTTGACCAGAGAAAAGTGGCCTAAAGTGGCAGACTTCTTCGGAGTAACCCACAACATATCAACCACTGAACTGTCGGCTAAATAGTGAAGAGAAAGGGATACGATATTTGTGGCACACAAAGGAACTCACCGGGACAGAATCGAAGTAGCGCCCCTCTGCCAAGAAGAACTTGGATTCAGCATTCTGGTTCACCTTGATGTGCCTCACTGCATTGGCGTACCTGACAGGGGAGAGAAGTATTAGTGTCCATACTCCCTACACTGTGGGAATAACGTGAAGGTCAATAGATGTGACCTCCCACAAGATGACAGGGATGAGATGACACCTTGTGACTGAAAAATCACATTTTGACTTTTCATTATATCTCAAAACTTCAGCATCTTCGGAACATAAAAATACAATTCACATTTATTACACAGACACATGACGTCACACATATCGATTTTCACTGAAACAAGTTGACGTCTTTATAATCCCACAGCACAATTGTATCTTAGCACCCATAAGGTCCCTTTTGTCCTGGTGGGTCACAAATGTATTACAGTTAGCACTATTAAAGCCATATCTCTGCAGCCCGAACTTAATCAAGTCTTGGCCAGGCAAACCAGTGGCTTATGGCATGAGCAACAATCAACATCATCAGCGTACAATGACACACAATCAGCACACTGCACACATTGTAACCTACTGTCTGTGGATAGTTCTTGCTACAATCAGATCTATTCTGACCTGATTTGCACATAGAAGATTTAACATGTTAAACAATTCTTCATAATCTGATAATACAACATGCTTCTAAACATACTACCAACAAATGGAGTACAGTTAGGTGACACTTACTTAATACTGAGAGAGTACGCTCCCAAGCGTATTCTGCTGATGGACTTGCGGATGAGGAAGGTTCCATCTGGACACTGGTCAAGCATGGCCTGCGCTGCATCTCGGTCCATCTCATCCACGTACCTACACACAATTACTCACATGCAGTCGACATGCACATAGACCCCTTGACATAGAAACACTAGTGACTTAGGAGTAAATGAATGTTGCTTTATGCCTCAGTCAGCTATATTCCATTTAAATCATGTTACCCGTACTCATAATTGATTGGACCGATTGCACTAGAGGTCGAGTGAGTGAGTGAGTGAGTATGGTTTTACGCCGCTTTTAGCAATATTCCAGCAATTTCACGGCGGGGGACACCAGAAATGGGCTTCACACATTGTACCCATGTCGGGAATCGAACCCGGGTCTTCGGCGTGACGAGCAAACGCCTTAACCACTAGGCTACCCGACCGCCCCTCACTGGAGGTCGAAAGCATGAACATTGTTTAATGCTATTAGGGACAAATAATAATCCCCAAGTAATCACTTTGTAAACAATATGGGGAACTGGACACCACCTCAGCCTGGTACACTGATCAAGTCCAGTGGAGAAGGTAAGCTAGTGCTTGATGGAATGTAGTTTGTTTGTTGTTTAACGCCGCACTCAGCAATATTCCAGCTATATGACGGCGGTCTGTATAAATAATCGAGTCTGGACTAGACAATCCAGTGATTGACATCATGAGCATCGATCCACGCAATTGGGATCTATGACATGTATCAACCAAGTCAGCGAGCCTGACCACCCGATCCCGTTAGTCGCCTTTTACGACAAGCATAGTCGCCTTTCACGGCAAGTATGGGTTGCTGAAGACCTATTCTACCCCGGAATCTTCACCGGTCTTTGATGGAATGAGCATTGGTCAAAACCATCAGAGAATAATGACACACTGAGAGTCAGCAAACAGCTGTGTGTGTGTGTGGCGTTGTTTAACGCTGCATTCAGCAATATTCCGGCAGCCTGTAAAGAGTCTGGACCAGACAATCCAGTGATGTGGACCACGCCACCGGGGTATGATGACATGCCATCAGTCACTGAGCCTGACCACCCTCTCCATTTGGTCACCTTTTACGACAAGCATGGGTTGCTGAAGACCTATTCTACCCCGGATCTTCACAGGTGGGTACACATAATGGATTCATAAAAATGTAAGACAAACCATTTGGCATTTATTAGATGATTGTTCATGACTAAAAGTAATTTCAGTTATACTCCATCATGCAGGATGTGGTTATAATCAACAATTAAGCATGCCAAAAGTATATATACACACTCACTATGGGATAACACTGTGGAAAAAATATCATTCCAACAGAAGAAAACACCGAGATTATTATCAGTTAGTAAAACACTCTCAAGACAAGTCCACAAAAATAGAACTGTTTTCTCCAGTTTGCTTCCTTCTGAGATTTGAGTCATGACACATGCAGTCTTGTCCAGATCCCCAGACGTTTGCTGACACAGAGCCAACATAGGTCGGAGACTGGTGCGTGACTTAGCAACAAACACCAGTATTGTCATACGGGAGTCGAGATGCACAAACTCCCTAGAGTACCTGTGCAGTGTCATACTTTCTCCTATGTTTGAGTATCTTTTTGTCATAAAGAAACCTATATATATAAGGAAGATGTGTATTTTGACATGGGGAGTGAGTGAGTGATTACTGTTTTCGCAATATTCCAGCAACATCATGGCGGGGGACACCACAATTCGGCTTCACATAATGTACCCATGTGGGGAATCGAACCTGGGTCTTCAGTGTGACCTCACCGCCCCATATTTTGATATGAACGTGAACAGTAAAATGTAAATTCTGATTTTATTTACACAAGGGGTCTTGCCATTGTAAGTTGCTTGGACTAAAGTTTACTATGTTTTGTTTGAATTTGTTGGTCCTTCTGATGATGAAATGTGACTTCATACTAGGGCTGTTACGATTCACTCGTGTATTCAGTGAATCGAACTGTTTCCATTCATGAATTGAATTCGTTAATCGTGGCCACTAGAATCAAATATTTATGAATATGCAGTACATACCCTGTACCTAAAAATATCAATAAGAACATTGTATGCACAGATTTCTTCAAAGTCAGCACTCTTATAATATTTAATTTGACAGTATTGTGGTCACTGGTCATTGTCACAGTTGAGCAGATACTAGTACCTGATATGTGAAGCATGTAAATGTTTAATATATTAATAATTAACAAACCAGTCAAATAACTTATGTTATTGTTTCACTGAATATAACAAATAATACATCAACTGTTGACTTGTTATTGTATTCGTGAATAAATATTCATATTCGTTACCCCATATTCATGATTCAAATCATATTCCCCTCATAGTGTATTCGTTGCAGCCCTACTTCATACCACGACAATTGTTGAGTTTTCATGTAACCTATTATTGATTTTATTGTGACTTTAATTATCATTCTGTATCATACATAAGAAACCTTCAGAATATTTGTGCACATGAAAGTAGTTCCTGCTGTAGCTTATGTTGAATATTTTTTGTATCTCTCCCAGCATGTTTTACACATTGTTACATTAGAAAATATTACCCTTACATATTTAGGCTGCAATATCAGAAAACATGCCCCGGACATATTTAAGCTATTGTAATATTAGAGTGAGTGAGTTGGGTTTAACTCTGCTTTTAACATTATTCCAGGTATATCATGGCGTGTCAGCTTAATGTGGGAGGAAAGCCCGAAGTGATGCAGACCATGGGTATGGTGCTGACAAACCTAGAAACATAATTTGGGCGAACCAGGATTCGAACCCACAATCATAGGTTTCTGGCGTGCCCAAGGGACGCAACTCTGCACAGCGAATTGCGGCGCCTTAGACGACTGGGCCACCCGTGCCCCCTTGTAATATTAGAAAGAATTCAACTGATAAGTTTCAGGTATTGTCAAATTAACAGTGTTCCCTTTCAAATTCATTGTAATTTTCAAGGATATTCTCAAAGAGAATACACATCACAGTATTAGAAAGAATTTCCCTGATGTTTCAGGCCCTGTAATATTAGAATATATTTCTCTTGACGTACCGGTATATAAAATTTGTATTTCCTGGACTGTAGGCATTGTATTTGGATTGTTTGGGATTGTCTTAGCAGCTTGGCATCTTGCAACACTGAAGTGCGATGTGCTAGTTCCGGTGGAGGTGCAACCTACCATGGTTTTTCTTTGAGTTCAGTGACATTAACATAGGAATGTGTTGAGTTGCCAGATGGTGGTGAGGAAGGTGTGTCTGATAGCTGTGGGTTGGAGGACCTATTGGGAAACGTCACGTCCAAGTACGAGTCTTTCCGCTGAAATACACACAATCAAAATACAAACAAAATAGTTTACATGTTAGAAGTTGAATGTAAGCTGTTTCTCTATCCTTGGTTCAGAAATATCCATTTGCAGTTTCAGACATCTTGAGTATGTTCACAGTATCATTGTACATGACTGCCTCTCTGAATGAATAGGCTGTTACATTGAATCCTGTTTAATCCAGACGCTAGAATGTCCTCGTGATTTTCAGCCATCTGTGCAAAAAACTTTTGAGTCTACTCGTCCGAACATGGACCCAAACATCATTTAAAGTAGAAGTTAGTTTTAAGTGGACTATTATTAGCTGAGCTTTTGACCGAACGGAATATTACTAGACTCAGGCTTTGGACGTATTTGGGTATGAGTAGAAGTTACAGAGTGATTGTCTCAAGGGCAGGGTTTCCAGACAAATGGGTTTCCCTGTTTGCGGAGCGTCACACTAGGTATTATTCAGCAATGTTCCGTGAAAATAAAATAGAAAAGAATAATGGCAAACTTTCTGTCAACTGAACACAGACAACATTCACTGGATGAAACAAGTATCACTGACTCTGACGATATTTCTGAACCCCGGATACTAGTGTTCACAGCATTCTAGCATTCCAACATAGGAAACACAATCTCTGGGAGGAACAGAAGGGGCGATCCATGCCATACAAACTAAAACTCTCATCCTGAAGAAAAACAAAATGTTGTGGTTAATGCCACACACCAACACACAAGAGTTTCAAACTGACATTTAATAACACACACTGATTATTTTTCAAAAGAAATATTTTCAGGTGTCAAAACATAATCTGAGCAATTTTGGGCTGAATTACTGAGAGAGAGAGTAAGGCATCATGATTAAGTTTGGGGATATTTATTAGTAGGGAAGACTGAGAATACAATTTTTAAAAAATAAACCCCAATATATTCATGATCCCTAACATTATTTGGTCAGTAGGGAAAAGGTGATTTAGAATGCTAATTTATTGAATGAATGGTGAATGGTGTGTTGTCAGCCTGGCAGTGTCAGTATGAAACCCAAGCTAACTGTCCACTACACAACAGCAGAGCCAACAGTGAGGTAGTCCAGTCCTTCGTACCACGGACACACGAAGAAGTGGCGCTGTGGGGGACCATTGCTGAATTCCCGCACCACCCTGGCCTGGTGGGGGACGACTCGGGGGACAGGGTTCTCATACTGAGGTAGCTGTCGGGGAAACAACATCTCAACATCAATGGAGTAAAATCACTTTATGGTACACTGTACATCACTGCAGGAGTTGTGGGCGGTTCAGTCCCACTTTCTTATGAGTTTACATGGTGACAGCATATTACAACAGAGTACAACACCCAGTACTGGGACACAACTGAATAACCGGCTCTGTAGCTCACCTGTTCCATTGACATAAGATACAACCACTTTCAGTATTCTCAAAACTGTATTCCAAGGGCTTTTCATCACTTTCAGGAATATTTAGCTATATTATGGCACCATGATTCAAACAAATGTAGGTCTTGCATGCAGGAATCAAAGTCATTGGGTAACATTCTACATACTCCAGCTATATGAGTGAGTGAGTATGGTTTTATGCCGCTTTTAGCAATATTCCAGCAATACCACGGCGGGGGACACCAGAAATGGGCTTTACACATTGTACCCATGTCGGGAATCAAACCTGGGTCTTTGGCGTGACGGGCAAACGCTTTAACCACTAGGCTACCAGACCGCCCCTCCAGCTATATGACTGTGAGTGAGTGAGTATGGTTTTACGCCGCTTTTAGCAATATTCCAGCAATATCACGGGGGGGGGACACCAGAAATGGGCTTCACACATTGTACCCATGTCGAGAATCGAACCCGGGTCTTCGGCGTGACGAGCGAACGCTTTAACCACTAGGCTACCCGACCGCCCCGCTATATGACTGTGATTTGTAAATAATTAAGTCTGGACCAGACAATCCAGTGATTGATATCATGAGCATCAATCTACGCAATTGGGATGTGATGACAACTATCAACCATGTTAGCGAGCATGACCACCTGATCCCGTTAGTCGCCTCTTACGACAAACATGGGTTGCTGAAGACCAATTCCTCCACTAAGTAAAGGATACTGAGAACTTTTTGTGGACACCCACTGGGTTATTGAGGCCATAGCAGTTGTTGTGTCAGAATAAAACTCTACAGTTAAATACATATTTTATGACACATGAATGCTACCGTCATTATTTGTTTAACAACTTTCATATTACTTCCATCTTCCATGTTGGGAATGTGACATTTATGTCTGTAAACCATAATTCAACGATGAGTTAGGCATCTGTCACCTTTCTGCTGATTGAATCAATCATAGCCTTTTTTAAGGTGACAATATTCAGTTATTACCTTACCCAATGCAAATTAGAAATCATTTGAGAAATGTGAGTATTTTCCATCACCGTCATCAAAACAACATTTACCCATATTACAAAAATGACTCCAACCAAACTTGTCCAAACCAAGTTTTAACTGAACACACAGAACACTAGTTTTTGATATAAACGTATTGAATATCAATTTATCCCAGTAGTAACCAAGAGATAGGAGTTAGTCTGAAAGACAAACACCAGAGAAATACTTAGTGTAATAACCTGATGAAAACATAATATTCAACACTCCATTTACCCACAGTTGGCTTCTCATTTGCTAGTACTGATATCCCCACTGAAGTATCTACACCTAGCAATCATACCGCCTTGATTAATAAGGCACAAAGTTGTTTCATATTCTATAATTGACATAGTGTGCAGTTTCTTTTCTCTACCATACCAGTACTTTCTACTAATGTTTAGTCTGTACAGAAGTTGAGATGGGTGAGCAGATTAAATATCAGCTATCAAAACGGAGTTCAAGTTTCTTAAACAGATTTACAAATCAAGGCTTCACATGGCTTGCAAAATATCAACAAAAAGATTATTCTACTCCAAATCACAATTTGATACATCCCAATTCTACTTAACTACTTTGGGGCTCTCAGTTGCATGCTACCTCATTTTAGGGGATTTATAGGCGTTTAAATATCTCTTTAACGTGGAAATGACTATAGGTCCCCCCAAGTAGTGGTAGGACGCCCCAGTTGGGATGGTCCTTGGTCCACAACCCAAGGACTTACACATCCCAGGGTTAATCCTGGGTTCATGATCAAGGATAAACAACATATCTCACGAGACCATCCGGGTCCACGACCCATGGCAACGCGTCTCGATGCTTCGGGTCCTACTGCTGCTGCATGGTTCATGACCTCTGCACGGTTCATGACCTCTGCACTGTTCATGACCTCTGTACGGTTCACAACCGCTGCATTAATATGTCCTTTGTTTGGTTGAAATTTAGTATATAATTCTAAACTTAACTGAACAAGAAGCTGAAGCTTATCAAGTGATATTAACTTCCATGAGGACGTAGATTACTGACCTTTGGATAAATGACTAATAAATATTCAGTTATAAGTTGTAACAAATATTATGAATAATGAAGGTGTTAAAAAGCTGTAATGTCATATGCACGGAGACTCAACTTAGAGAAATTAAATAAAACCCTGAGTAACCCTGTACCTTTGAATCTTTTCCATGTCAGTTCTACACTCGGAAGTAAACACTCGTTCCATACTCTTCTCAGTTCAAACTAGGTGAAGTCATGTTATTCCAGATGGGAAAAGAATTAAATTGTCAATTTACTGACAATGATTGAAAGTCTTTAATATTATCACAAATTTAACTCAAAGTGTAGACTTCAAATGGTGTTAATATAGGATTCTCCATAATATCCCCGCAACTAGACAATTCCTTAATAAGGAAAAGGAACCATAAACTATATACTTCTAATTGGGAAATTGTCAAATGGCAGGAATTGGAAATGTGGTTTCATTCCATACAAATATCTTTAAATCTTACAAAGCAAATTTAAGATCATACTGGGCATAATAGGGAACAACAATAATCCTAGAAATACAATTAACTTATTAGCTAAGCAAATTATTTATAGATGAAGTACAAAAGAACCTATTCCAAACATAGAATTCAGTGACGCCACAATGATCTGCAAACCACTGTGTTGCAATTCCACTGTAGCGATATCTCCTAAAGGATCGTATGATATCACCCAAGCAATATCTCCTTTGGAAGCCAATTTTGCTGCTTTATAAGTACTGTTTAGAAATACTCATACACTGTAATATGTCTCATACGTGTTATTAGTATACTGGACAATATCTGTATTTGAAAACAGGGAAAATCAAAACAGAGTGAGATTTAGTCTGTAAAGAACATTTATCATACCAAACTTGCTTCCACAGGAGATATCACCACACAGAAATTGAAACCCAATGCTTTTCAGACCACTGTGATGTCATCGGTTACCATGACGTCAAACAAATGACATCATTAATATCTCTGCCACTGAAGTTGTTTAACTCCACATTTTACTCTCAAAAGAGTGGTTAGTATTGTTTACAAACTGAAACAATTGTCAGAATGATCACTTAAAACCAAGTCATTAGTCTGTGTAGGAATAGTAATGCAACTTCCCAGTGTATTATAACCATGAATTACCTGATCTTCCTTGCTAATTTTCTGAAAGATTAAACCTGAATGTATGGAAATGCTAATCAAGGAAGGTCACTGAAAAACATGACAGTTTACAACCGCAATAGTAAAAATGCCATTCATAGTCCCTGCTAATGTTGATAGAACAAGGGCGAGGCTGAATCGAGGAGCCAATCCAAAACCAGCTGATCAGCACGCAATGAGCGTCCCCTTTCACCACCCAAGCCCCCTCCCACAAGGAGAGTCCCCCTTTTCACCACCCAAACCCCCTCCCCCCAACACGAATGCACCATCGTTATACCATCCGTACCCTCTGACACAATGACTCTCCCCATAAACCACCCAAGCACCCAGCCACAACAAGTGTCCCCTATAATTAGGGGCTTCAGACCTCTTGTTGAAAGTGCAGACACTACGCCCACTTACTGCGATCCGAGATACTTGTACATAGCTTGCAGGGAAGAAGCCCTCCTGGCCCTGATGACGACCCTGAAGGGACAAGTGTGAGAGTCAGTGAATGTTGTGACATAGTTCCGTCACCAAACTTAAGTTATATCACAGACACTTGTAAAAATGTCCAACCCACGAATTCAGTGCATGAACTCAATCAGAAAGTTTACACATTGTAACTATACCTTAACCATTATGATGACATCACTATACTTAAACCATTAAGATGACATCACTGTACTTAAACCATTAAGATGACATCACTGTACTTAAACCATTAAGATGACATCACTGTACTTAAACCATTATAACATCGCTGTATTTAATCCATTATGATGACATCATTGTACTTAAACCATTAAGATGACATCACTGTATTTAAACCATTACGATGACATCACTGTACTTAAACCATTATGATAACATCACTTTACTTAAACCATTATAACATCACTGTACTTAAACCATTATGATATCACTGTACTTAAACCATTATGATAACATCGCTGTATTTAATCCATTATGATGACATCACTATATTTAAACCATTATGATGAAATCACTATACTCCAACCATTATGCCAGGAATTCACTGGCCATTCTGAACATGCTTTTTGTGTAAGCAAAACTGACACAGCTGTAGGTCATTATGCAAAATTAGAGAGAAATTACATAAAACTAAAACTAAAACATGGTTTAATTTGGAAAAATCACTCAAATCTGTTGATTTCAGAAATAGAATCAGTGACCCCTGAACATTAGACCCCTGACATGTCAGCTCTTACATACATGGGGTACATAGGACTTATGATGCACAGCAACCCATCTCCAGAATAAGATTGAGTGAAAAATAATCTATATGGTATCCATTTCTCAAAGAAGGTAATCATAAGATTTTCTTCTATCTCAAAGGAGTGAGTACGAACCTTCCACCATGTTTTATCTGATTGGTCGACAACATCGATTGTCTCTCCCGTCTTGAAGGTGAGTGCTCGGTGCCCATTAGGAGGCGGCGTTCCCGTGTAGGCAGTGGTGGTTCGAGCTTTGGTGACTCCTGTGAGAATAGGGACAGGAATTAGGGGTGGGACGAGTACAAATTTACTACCCGGGTACCCACCCCCCTATCACCGACCCTACCCGGGTACCTGCTGTAGGTCTCAAGAGATAGGTAAAACATGTGGGAATAGTTTTGACCGTACTCCTGTCAAAATTTATATTATAAAATGATCTAGTCATGCATACACTGAAGTTGACTGAAATTTATCTTTATGCAAACATATAAGGTCAGAAGGAATGTGTGCATAGTCGGAAAGAAATGGGAACATTTGTCACTTATAGTGTAACCATAAAGTTCTAGATAATTTTTGCCATTTAACAATATAATCACATGACTACTCAGTACCGACCCGAGTGCCCGAGTTACCCGTCCCAGCCCTAACAGAAATGTACTTGTTTCTCCCACTCATGCCTCCAAATCCAACACTACAATAATCCACAGAGAACAACTGATCATGGATTACCTTGCGGTGATGGCCTGGGCGGTCTCGGTGACAAAGCTGAAACACAGACACAATAAACACTATTATTGTTTATATTTTCTATTAGTAATACTTTTATTACACTAATTCAGTCTTCAACTTACGCCATTATTCCAAAGCCTGAGGTGAGCCAAAATTCTTTTGGTTCAGGAAAAAGGCTAACAGTAGTTCATATAGAAACACGACAATCTACTGGAAATGATGCAAAGGTTTGCACTAGCAGGGATCACTCTAGGAATTTTCGGACATGGACCTTTTATGTGAAATATTCAAATATTCCAGAGGTATGCCTATACAGCACAATGTTAAAATGCCCCATTGTATTTGAAAATGTGGGCCTTTTTTTTCAAATTTAGGAGCTAAAAGCACAAGGCCCCACCCTTGAATTATGTGAAAATTCTCATGTGAAATATTGAACTATAGATATTGTCAAATGAGAATAAGACTTACGTTTAATATCAGGTTTCTTGCCTATGCATTCTTTATGCACAGCTTTCTTTGTGTCTGGAATACAAGAAGCATGGGTAACTGTACAACTCCATGGAAGTAGCTTGGCAAAAAATATGTGAGGGGATGTTGTTTTACGTCTCACTTATTGCAGATATTATACACAACAGCAAGTGGGTATGTATTTTGTTGTGTTTTTAGCAATATTCCAGCAATAACACGGCAGAGCACCAAAAAGTGGCTTCACACATTGTACCTTAGTGGGGAATTGAACCTGGGCCTTCAGTGTGACGAGTGAACGCTTTAACACTAGCAACCCATCCACCCTGTACATAATGAAGGCTGAAAATCAGGGTACACATTCAGCCAGGATATAGTCTGAATGAGCTCATGTAATTAGATGATTAAACATTGTCTTTCCGTGCTATATTTTCAAAACTTGCATTTTGATATACCCTTTCTGTTATGTTTTAAATGGTAGATGGTTGACTTATAATTTCACCTTGACAAATGTAGCCTTGGAAGAAGACTCCCCTGTGAAAAAAAGAGAAATGCATGACTAAGTGAATTACTTTTAATGCTTCAATCAGCGATATTCCTGTTTTATCATCCAAAACTGGCTTCCAAAAGCCAAAATTGGAAATTGCATCACCATGCTTTGCAGACCATTAGTTACCATGATGTCACAATTACATGACATTACTAATGGCTCTGCTACTGAAACTGCTCGCAATACTTTTTACGCTGAAGACACTGCTTATTACTGTCTACAAACTCAAACATTTGGAAGAATGATAAATAGAATCTCACCCTTGTGTCTTTTGATATCAAATACATCAACACTTGTTGATAAAAGTTTCAAACTCCTCGGCAAGTCTTTAGAGTTTTAAACTATTATCAACTCTGTTGATAAATTGCAGATCTACATAGGAATTTCTTTATCTAGAGACATACATAATAACTATAATAATAACTATTTTATTATTAATCGATAGATGGATGTATGGTGATACTTTTGAGTCAATATATATCAAAATTAAACATTTAAATCAATGACACCCTTAAATTCTCTGTACCTGACACACAAAGAAGCCAAATTCTGCTGTCAACATACCTGAGGAGCTTGCCACACACATCACATTCACGGGGTTTCTCAAACGTCTGCATCACATAGTTGGGGCCCGCTGACGGCTGAGTGTTCTCTCTGAAACAATATACATGCACTCCATGACCTCGTCCATCTTCCCGAGGCAAGCGTGTCCACTAGCCTATATCAAAGCCTAGTTTCTATCAGTAATTGTTTGCTAATAACTTGAGAGAGTTTTTTAATTGATCACTCACAGTGCCATCTGTATAGCCTCGATCCATTTCTGCCGTGCGTCTTCTGTCTTAGCGAAGAAAGTGAAGGCCATCTTCTGACTCTTCTGCACCATGATGAAGGGGCAGTTCCACTGCAGAAGAAATACAAGAATGTTCAACAATACGGTAATCGATCTCCAGAACAGATACAACAATGTTCAACAATACGGTAATCAGTCTCCAGAACAGATACAACAATGTTCAACAATACAATAATCAGTCTCCAGAACAGATACAACAATGTTCAACAATACGGTAATTAGTCTCCAGAACAGATACAACAATGTTCAACAATACAATAATCAGTCTGCAGAACAGATACAACAATACTGTAATCAGTCTGCAGAACAGACACAACAATGTTCAACAATACGGTAATCAGTCTGCAGAACAGACACAACAATGTTCAACATTACGGTAATCAGTCTGCAGAACAGATACAACAATGTTCAACATTTCGGTAATCAGTCTGCAGAACAGATACAACAATGTGGTAATTAGTCTGCAGAATAATGTTCAAAATCATGTCAGTCCAGATGCAGACAATGGTCAACAGCATATCAATCAACAAGAAGGTTCTACAGAACAAGGAATCAGTGCCACAGATCCATCAGACATTACGATCTTTGTGAACATCTGTCAATCCATTTAATCCCAAAGTGAGCAAAGTCATATTTATCAGAAATTTCAGAACATACAAATTACCAGTCCCATACCTTGTCAGTTCTCTTGTCATTTGGCACACTGCTGTCGTCTACTTTGTACTCGCCCAAGACGATGGCATCCTTGAAGCTGTAGGTCTCGCCCTGCAACATCAACATCGATATGGTCACCACGTAGCCCAGACAAACACATCCTCTGTCTTGGCTTGGATCTTGGCCGTCTTGGCCACCAAGAATCATCCTACAACATTTCTTCTGGCCAATAATGAGATGCTAACATGCCCACTATGTACGACCAGTGGGCACCAGTATGCATAGATGATTCAAATTACACACAAATTACAATCACAATAAGATCATTGCATTGATAAAAAGAATCATTCTCAGTTACTACAAGCTGGTTATTCCAACAACATATTAATACGCATGAATAGGTAGTCTTGTTCTAAATTATAAGCAGAACATTAAGTTAGCATTCAATTTAAGGTTATTTGCTTTGACCAAAAATAATTGTAATTTTGAAACAAAATTACAGTGACAAATTTAGTCAAATTTTGTGTTTAATTTCAGTATTGTACCTTTGTTATCACAACATCAAAAAGCATATTCAGTGAACAGGGTTACTTAATCAGAGCGCATCAATTTCTCAGTGTCTCCATATCAAAAGTACTGGGGCTGGTTGATCCCCCCTTACCCAACCCTCTACTGCAAGGAACAAGGCACCCTTGAAAGAGTTCTCCCTCTATGGCAATTATACCCACGAGACAATAGAGAGATGTAGTTTATCACAACACTTTCATAGTCCCTTTCTCTGCCTCCCAATCCATGAGAGCATCCTACACATTGGGCAATTCTCTTCAGTATCGCTAATACAATAAGGTACCAAGGATCTTTTCTTCCCTGACATTCCCATGCAGATAACGAGGAGCCTTTTTTTCGCTGGAATCCCCATGGGGTTGCTGATGCCAGCAAAAGGTACCAAGGACCTTTTCTTCCCAGAAATCCTCACAGGGTTGCCTATATCAGCATTGGATACTGTGGAGCTTTTCTTCCCTGAAACCCCAATGGGGGTTCTGATACCAGAACAAGGTACTGAGGAATTTGTCTTTGCTGGATTTTCCATTGGGATCCTGATACCAGCAGAAGGTACTGAGCAGTCATTCTTCCCCGGAATCCCCATGGGGATTCTGATACCAGAACAAGGTACTGAGGAATTTGTCTTCCCTGGATTTTCCATTGGGATACTGATACCAGCAGAAGGTACTGAGCAGCCATTCTTCCCTGGAATCCCCATGGTATGGTGACACCAACACCAGGTACTCAAGACCTATTCTTTCTTTGGACCACCACAGGGACATGATAATATATGGAACCTTCTCAAATGGAAATCACAATTCCAGCTCCATTTTTCAATTGGAGATTCTACTTAGATAATTGATTATTGTAACATTGATACTTTTGCATAAAATGGCAACTGAAATTCAACTTGGGTTTTCAGGAATTATTATTGGGTTGTTTGACACAAAATGGCATTTCAAACACTGAAAATAGTATGGACAAATTTGTTTCTTGAGAGATACACGGCCAGGGGTACCTTGCCCATCTGAGGATCTGTCCAAGATGTCAGCCATGTACACCATAGGACATGCTTTCTCCAACATACTTGGTCTTATTTCACATAACAATCATTGGGTCTTTGGCATAGAAAAAAACAATAACACATAAGTTCATGAATAAATTCATCTTCTAAAAATAATCCACAATTTCTTTTCTCATATTAAAGGATGGTCTCAAACAAAACCATGAAAAATATTCCTTAAAAATATAATCTTCCAGCTCACATTCTAGTCTGTCTAGACTCAGGGCTCTCACCAAATAAAGAAGAAGAAAAAGAAGAATAATAACTTCAGGGTTACAAAATAAACTATAGGTAGGCCTATTGACTGCTTCTGATAATTCAAACCCTTTTCATTCACGTTATGGGAGGGAAAGAGAGCTTATTTATATTTCAGAAGTATAGATTGTCAATTTTTAAGAATCCAATAAATTCCATGACATAAACAGTTGTACAAATGTAGTTGATCTTGATTCTGCTTGAGACTTAATTCTCGCTAGAATTTGATTTCTGTCTTATCTTGACTGAGGTCTGAACAGGATTAAAATTTGGTCCAAAAATTAGCCCAGTTTACACAGATCCCACTGAAGTTTTAAAATATCAGTAAATATTACACAAGATTAAAGGTATACACATTAGTATCAAGTACATATTGCTAAAACTATTTGAATCAGTTGATGCTTCATTAAGGGCATCAGCAATCTTTGGTCATTCCATAGGAGAAGTGGTTAGGGAAGACAACTCTACACGTGCGCATTAGTCTAAATACATAGGTTAGGGTCTGCAGGCTGGCTGGTCAAACAGTTGGTCAGGACTGTCATCTTTTATAATGGAGCAAAATGCCATGATTTATGTCACAAAACACTCGTGTTGCATGTCTTGCACAGACATAGCCCAGCAAGTAGATACAAACAGCTTTGCGGGTTGAAAATTGTCACCTGGCTATGAAAATGACATCTTCCTACTTTAATTGCAGGTATCATTAATAATTGTCATTATTTCATTTTTGTACCAGAATGAACAAGAAAAGTGTATTCAATCTGTAAATATTGCCATGTGAGTATTTGTGTCATTTTCAGCATGCCCAATTCTACAGATTTCTTTAATCAGTACATGAACAACTATAAGTATTTTCTGCAGTTCAATACATGTACTTGGCAACATGTCCTGTAGTCAGAAATAATTCATTTTCTTAGGCATGCTATTTGTTCTAATCAGTGATGTTGAAATTGAATTCTGGTCTTTTTTCATTTTGCCACCAGCCCATTCATATATAGTGGCCAAAAAAGTCTGCAAGACAAGAAATTCCACTGATCTGTCTTGTTGGTACAGATGTCTGTCTGACTGTCTGACTGTCTGTCTGTCTGTCTGTTATTGCCCTCCCGAAAGAATATGTACAGAACACATGCAACACAAGTGGCAAGATTTATAAACAGGACATCTTGCTGTAACCGAGTGTGACTAATTCTCACCCATCCTCCATTTCAAATAATAACACAGCCATCACTCTCCAAAATAATATTTGTATTAGAAATTGTAACCTCCTGAAATATCACTATAAGCAGTAGCTAATGTAAGCATAGAATCAACAAAAATGGCTAAAGTATGCACTTGCGAAATAAAAACAATGGTCGGCTAAAACACCACTTCAAATATGCAGGGACATTCCACGACAAAGATGGATGAGAGCACAAATGCATTCACATCATTTTCATGCAATACTGGTAAGTTATTTTAACAGCAGCCAATATCACTTTGAAAGGGTTGCTTTCTTATATTATTTGTTTCAGATTCCTGACTCGTTAGAAAAACAACAATTATAAACATGAATTTCATGTGCAAATTAATTGTATATTTTCCATGTGTTTCTCTTCCTATTTAAAAAAACAAAACTATAAGCAATAGGGCATAACTACACATGTTAAATTCTTCCACTATCTCCATCCATATTGCCTAGGTTTGAGAGCAGAGCCAAAAGCATGTGCAGTGTCGAGACGCAGTGCCGTGACAAAGGTTAAGGGTCAAACTCTCCTAGATGTACTTTGGGAACAATGTCACATTTGCAGAAATATCGAGGTACTTAGCAATATTCTGCAATTTCATATCTGACTGAACATGTGTCTGAGACTCAAGCCACGCCAGGCCTAAGGAGTGAGTGAGTATGGTTTTACGCCGCTTTTAGCAATATTCCAGCAATATCACAGCGAGGGACACCAGAAATGGGCTTCACACATTGTACCCATGTCGGGAATTGAACCCGGGTCTTTGGCGTGACGAGCGAACGCTTTAACCACTAGGCCACCTGACCGCCCCAGGCCTAAGGAGACATGTTTAGTTCATTGAATACATTTACAGTTTTAGGAAGATGAAAAATTGTTTTCCATTCATCTCTTCAAGAATAAGATCAGGGATACTGAAACTGATTAATACAACTATATCAGTGATTAAAGGACTGATAGAACATACTCAATTTTGGCCTATTTTAGTACATGTATGGATTTATCTTGACCTCCTCAGGGGATGATATTTGGCAAAGTCTGATTCAAATGTCAGAAACGTCAGAAACAATTTACACATGGGAATGGACAGTTTGCCATTAATATTGACATACTTATGAATAGTGTGATGACTTGGTCGAGGTTAGGACCAACAAAAGGTAGATACTTTAATGATAAGTATTACATTATCGAAAACAATGTTAAATTACAGATAAATACCTCAGAAATTGAGTCAGCTAAGGACAAGCAGTTTGGAATCAGTGGTAAATCGCCATTTATTTTAAAACACATCACCATGATTACACAGATTTCAAAATTTCAAAATGTTGAATAAAACAAAAGGAAGCTGTAAGCTACAGTGTGGCAATATACAGACTTATATCGAAATGTTGAAAATGTTAAGACAACATAAATCAGATAACTTTGCACAGCTGCGTTGTCAGTGTTTGAGTATGTATCAAATATATCATAAATATAACCAGTATTTAGTCTTAGTTGATGTAATATGCAACAGCAGACACATATCATATAATGTTGATTCCTTTTCCTGCATATACCAGGAAGAACCAAACATGCAGGTTTTAAGATGATATCTGCACCATGCCATACATGTGGGTAGTTCACAGTTGTCATGGTTACAACATAACATCAATGGCAATACAACATGCTCATGTGTTTCACATGCAAGATTGAAAATTCGGAGACTGACAACATTTCACAATATATGTTTGACTGGGCATGCCATTGAGAAACTGAAGATGATAGTGTGTATGGATGACATGGAAGCCAGACAGGAGGTCATGAAACAGGCAACGACCGACTGTCCAGCCAGCCAGACTCTCAGGTTGATCCTTTACAAAAGGAAAACGAACACTACCGGAGATATCATCAACAGGTAAGTGATCTATAGATACACCCCTAAGGATGAAGACACATTACAGAATTTATTTATGTATCCTAAACAGGTTTTATTCCTGGAAACATATTTCCTTTCTTCAAATTCATTTTCAAACTTTTAACTCAAACTTTTTGTGTTCCAGTGTAAAGAGCTTCTTCAATACCAAGCTCTAGTCAAAAAGAGGCTACATATATGAGAAAGAGGCTGTAAACATGAGAGTGAGGCTGGGACAGCAGAGACCCCTGGTGGCTGTATATCTGGGAGAGTTTGGACACCATGTAGGACAAAAGTGACAAGAGCTTACCCATAGGAATTTCTCCACCATCTAGTAGAGGCACAAAGATACAAGGGTGACAATGTGATCCATTCAACAAAACACAGGTGATATCTAATGTGGTGTCAGCTAACATGTGACTAAAGGCTACCAGTGACTCCACTCTTACAGCCAGCTTAAGACACGGGTATCAGAGAAGGCTGAACATGAAGAAACAGGGTGTGCTTACATGAACAGAAACATAAAATGCATTGAATATTAGAATTATTGCTTCTGGGCAGCTTAAAGAATTTATTGTGTATTTTTTACACCCTTTCCCCGAAACCCCAATAATTCCCTTGAAAGCATTGAACATTGAAAATTGATACTTTTGATCAGTATGTGCTAATGTTTATTGTAAATCTTTAACACTCCATCCCCATAAAACAATCCCAGCCAACCAAACAAAAACACAAAAATCTTAGCTTAATTACCATGCCAGATTGTGGCATTTTTCATAATACTAATCTCCACCGTCATATAGCTGGATTATTGCTGAGTGTGGCGTTAAACAACAAGCCAATACTAATCTAATTATAACTTCTGTGATGTCCAATCATTTTGTAAAGTTAAGACAGAGAATACAAAGCTGAGCTTAAAATTCATTTCTTTAGTGATAAATGTGCCCAAGACAAAAACAAATCATTCTTTCCAAAATAACAAATTGGACAAAGTGATGAATCTGACAGAAGGTCTGGCTATAAATGTGTGAAAAACGTGTCGGGGTATTTGTGCATGATTCGACTGCAATGAGATGATCATGTCAACTGTGACAAAGTGAACCAAATAAATTTTGGTAAAAATATACAGACAATAAATAGATGCAATGCAAAAAGAAAATATTTACTTTATTCTAGCAAAATAATGAATATTAACACTTTATACTAACATGACTAATGCATGACAATATTTGCCTATACCTACTGCCTAGCTAATCGACCAGGTCGTATAAAGTCTACAAGTGTTAAGTTCTGAATGCTTGATACAACACACTATGAATCCTCTGGTGCAGTGCCTTCTATTGCATTGTATTCTATTGTATGTGTCTAAACAGCAGAAAAGCAGCAAAGCTCATTGAAGACAAAGTATAATTATCTTTAAAAAGGTCTACTTATGTGCCGATCTTACAGAATTGGAATGATTCGCTGATTTCATTATAAACTCTTCTGCAGCCAAAGGATTAATCTAGAAAACGCCACGTCATACTGACTTTGTGCCCTAGGTACTTGGACTGTGATGCACGGAGGTGAGTCTAGCATAACTTAGAGATAAGTGAGCTTCCATCATTTCCCACTGATGATTCAATGAGGATTTCAGCCATTTTAGTGTTCTTCAGCCATACATAGTCACGGGACACCAAGAAGGGGCTTCACACTTTTGTTTGTTTGTTTGTTTAACACCGCACTCAGCAATATTCCAGCTATATGACAGCAGTCTGTAAATAATCGAGTCAGGGCCAGACCATCAAGTGATTGACATCATGAACATCAATCCACGCAATTGGGATACAATGCCATGCATCAACCAAGTCAGCGAGCCTGACCACCCGATCCCATTAGTCGCCTCTTACGACAAGCATAGTCGCCTTTCACGGCAAGCATGGGGTGCTGAAGACCTATTCTACCCCGGATCTTCATGGGTCTGACTCATTTTGTACATATTTGGACAATTGTGCCACTGACAATTGACAAGTTTGATAATTAATCCCACCTTCTTGGATTCATTTAGTTACAAGCTTACAGTAAAGAAATTCAACAATCCTTCACATGTTTTTATGGATAAGATTTAAAGAACATAGAGTATGTCTTCCATTTCATATAAAGAATACCTGAAGCCAAAAATTCACCAAAAGCAGATACTGAAATATTCAGAAAGGACTAAAGTTTTTTTGTTTCTCAGTTTCAATGATATTTCTCCGCGAACATTAAAGCGAAACCTCGGTGCATCACAGCGTAACAGTCAAGACCATTTCTAACTTACTGTCAGCTATTCGTAATTGTCATACACCGTTTTGGACAATAAAACATTCACCATGCTAATTGAAATTATAGCCACAATGCTGATCATACAAAAATTATTTGCCTTAAACATACAATATATACAAAAATCTTTTAATTTGCTTGCAAAGTTATCAAATAAAAGGCATCCTGCAGACATGAATGCTTATTTGACATTAATTGTAAACAATGCTTAAAGGAATTCAAAATTGCCATTTCTTATGACAGGTGATAACTTAAAGGGAGCAAACCCTCATCTTCATGGAGGATGGGATTTCTACTTTTGTGGTAAAAAATCATTGAGGTAAAAAATCATTAGACCATACCTCACCTATAGTCAACATAATTACTCAAAGCTACAAAGATTATCAACACATTGACAAAGCTACAGGTCATCCAAATAGATTGGGGAGTACATATACAGATTGATCTGAAGTCTTACTTTCTCGCTAGATAAAAGAAATGTTAGAACAGTAGTTCAAAGAGAATAAAACCTCACAGACGTACGATCAAAACCCTCCAAACTGTTTGTATCTTACACAAAGGAGGAAAAAAATCATTCTGATAGATACCCTATAAGCACATATATTCAACACACACAGCTTTTGTCCTTACACAAATATACATATGACTTGGGTTGTGTTGACAAGTAAACATATCTCGTAGCAATGGTCATAGATTAGAATGATATCAGAGAAAGCGTACACCTCTTGCCATTAATTGGAAAGGTCATAAATAACGCCATTATTGGAAAGGAAGTACCTATACCCAAAGCTATAAAGCATAATGTGTTTCCTCTCTATCTGCTGACACGGGTGGTCACTCGCCTACCAACTTACCCGAGCCTTGCACATAAGCATCACCTTGTCAAAGAGGAAAATGTGCCTGAAAAGAAAAAGAAAAAAGGTCATTCAAAATGTTGCCATTTCAAACATACATCCAGAATTTGGGTGAAACCAAGTGAATCAGAAATAGAACGAAGTGCAAGATTGAGAAATAATAATGTTTACTTTAGAGCAAACTTTGCTTGCTTTTATACTGCAGAAACTACTGGCAGAGGCAAATGTTATCTAGACAGGTACTGCTATGTTTAATACATGACATCCTCAGGATTATATATGTCATTCAAATACTGAGAAATGAAAGAGATCAAACAGAACAGAAAATGCATGTGTCCTACTAATTCACCAAAAGGATTTAACCACAAACAACAGAATCTGTGTGGAAAAATAACATTAAAAACATGGTGACAATAGAGAAACTATTTTGCATCAATTGTTGATAACAATATGATTATTTTGCTACATTTATTCCCAACTTGGATTGTTTATAACAGGTGGTATATTGTTCATGGTATAGTGCTGTAGGGTGTCATAACACATTTAACGTCATACTGATATGATTATGACCTCATACTAATATGAATATGTTGGCCTTAATAATTTTGTCCAAGATATTCAGACCAACATTGTGATGTTTTCTTCAAATTAATATCTAATATTTTCATCAATGATATATTAAAGCATGAAATTATGAAATAATGTGTTTTCCCTAAATGCTACATCTTCATAATTTAACACCTTGGGTAATAGTTATGCTCGTGTGAAAATAGAAATATAAGCCACAATTTTTTTTCAGTTGGTTCATTTGGCATATTTTAGTCAAATGTCTTTTCTGGATCTTAATCAAAAACTGACAAGTGATGAAAAGCTAAAATGCTAGAAGTTACAATTCACGTAATTTCTCCCCCCACCCTATATTTTTCATTTCATTCATAAATTTGGAAATTCCAGTGATTTAAGGGTGCTCTAATCACACCTTGTGTTTTGTCCCATCCCATGCAGGACTGTATTCTCATGCTTATCCCATCCAACGAACAAGAAGAAGCAGAGAAGGTTGTATCTACAGGCATGACAGGCACGGTGCTGCTGGACTAACTTGTAGGGGAGACATCATCACAAGGAGTCACTGCGAGTCACTGAATCTTGCTTTCTATGCCAGTCAGCAATATCACAGCTACATGATGGTGGTGTGTAAATAATGGAGTCTGGGATGAACAGACCGGGGGTTGATGGCATGAACAGTGATGGTGGTCACACATTTTAAAAACTCCATCCCCACTCCAAGGTTGCAGGAAAGCAATAGAGCTAACATATGACATCACACCCAAACAATCTTAAAACTATTAATCTGACTCATTAGGTAAATTGGCGCAGTGCTTCAGACTGCGAAGGGTCTAGGGCCCCATTCCACAAAGTGATCTTAGCACTATGACTATCATTAGCCAATGACTGACTGACTGACTGAGTATGGTTTTAAGCCGCTTTTAGCAATATTCCAGCAATATCACGGCGGGGGACACCAGAAATGGGCTTCACACATTGTACCCATGTCGGGAATCGAACCCGGGTCTTCGGCGTGACGAGCGAACGCATTAGCCAATGAAGAAGTACGGGAAGGATAGAGCTAACATATGACATCACACCCAAACAATCTTAAAACTCTTGGAATGGGACCCATATCATTGTCCGCTGGAGAACCAAATGATCCTAAATTTGGGGGGAATACATACAACATGTTCAACATGGTCTTAAAGCTGGCTCATTGTTTTCATAGGTTATTTTCACATTAATCTGAAGCTGTCAGTAGGCAAGTCCTAATCTCCTAGTCTGACTTTATTGGACATTCTCTTGTCATTGCAATGTGGCAACACACTCAAATATTAGTCATGGATATTGAGATTGCGACAGAGAAGGTGAAGGCCACAGGAAGTGAAGCTGATAGTTAGGGAGGCGATACACAGCAATATGACTATGAGGCAAGTGCACAGAGGTGTTCAACAGCAAACTTGGTTCAACATCAACCACCCTTACAGATCTGTGCTCAACTGGTTGAATGTGTTGGAACCATTATTACATGAGCCATGAACAGCTTAATACTGACCATGCTGACAGAATTTGTTGCTTGTGTTTGCATACGACTTGTCAACAAGGTTGGTTACTCCATCAATATTTGTTATTATCCAATAAATGTTAGTTTAAGTATTGACTGATCAATCTTGACTTGTCCTTAAGAAAGACCTTCAAATTTAGTTGAAAATGATGCATATTAATCATGATCAAGTATTGAGCTGACAATCAACCAGTTAACAGGGAGGATAATAAGCTGGTATTCAGACTCTGACCCTGTGACCTCACATCTGAACCCATTTCCAGGGCTGAATTATTGCAGGATGTGAAACACATCCCCACTGTTGTTGAAATTTAGATAAAATCTGAGCAAGAAATATCTGTACATATATTAAACGCAAGAACTTGTGATGGCGAATTTAACCGAATTCACACCATGCAATAGGCAAGAAAAGTAAACAATTATTCAGATATGAAGACAAAGAAAATAGTTTATAAACTTAAATTTAATAAACAGACTGTGTGAGAGATAAAATATTTGATAGTGAATGAAAACTGATTGTGTCTGGGCCAGGCAAACAAGTGGTGAGTGAGTATGGTTTTACGCCGCTTTTAGCAATATTCCAGCAATATCACGGCGGGGGACACCAAAAATGGGCTTCACACATTGTACCCATGTCGGGAATCGAACCTGGGCCTTCGGCGTGACGAGCGAACGCTTTAACCACTAGGCCACCCGACCGCCCCCTCAAACAGTGGTAAAGCGCATGATCAACAATCCACACTTAAGGGGGATATGAAGGCAATCAGCCTGGGGCCATGTCAGTCAGTTCTTACAACAAACATATACTGGGGGTCTGTTCCCCCATAGGGGTTCCTCCAACTGTAGAGTGTTGTTTCTTTGACAGAATACTTAATGCCTGTCATGGAGATGTCTCAGCTCTTAGAACAGGGCTTAACAGAATTTCAGTTACAAATTCATGGACTTTTTACACATTTTAAGGCCCCTCACAAACATTCAAGGCCATGCAAAAAATTGTTTGAAATATTCAATTCTAAGAAGTGAAACAAGCTGTGTATTTGTGTAAAGTATTGAAGTTATTCTTCATAACTCTATTATGGTGGGTTGTTTGTGTACAGCAGAATTATTTGTAGAATGTCTACACATCTGGATAACAATACCCAATAGACTGGACCCAAGGAAGTGAAACTATTGAATGCTCAAAAGGAACTATCGAGAACCCAATGTGAATGATTACACAAGGCACAAAAAATATCTGGAGCCTGAACGGAAACAGATGACCATTGACGTCACATGGGAAATAATCCTATGTTTACTGACTATAACTTGTTTGTATACAAATTGTTTCCTTTAACTTTGAAAAGACATATATAATTTAGGTAATTTACCAGGTAACTTGAGATGGGATTTAATCAGAAAAAAATCAAGGTATTTTCACCGTTGGTTGGTTGGTTGGTTGTTTTACGCCACACTCAGCAATATTCCAGCTATATGACGGTGTTCATCCAGTGACTGATATCATGAGCATCGATCCACGAAAAATCTAGCTTGATTTATTAACCAGGGTTCTAAGCAAAAATATAAATAACCTATAATAATGGATAGGGTGATATTGCAAGCGTCAAAACTGAAAACATTCTCTGTTGACAAGCAGAAATTCAAATACTAGAATTATGTGACATAAACAAACAAATACATAAAAAACATGAACAAACAAATAAATCAAAACAATTCAGGAAAGGGGATTACATGCAAAAACAAGCAACATGCAAACTCCTGAAAATAGTCTTAAATAATTTTCACTTTCAGCATATTTCTGATATTCCAGGAAACTCTAGTGGTAAGTACTATGTAGTCAATGAGTGTTTCTATTGATGCATTAGCGATGCCAGGATTGAGTCTATAGAGGTGTTATTCAGCATGTGTATTATGGCTTACCTTTTCTCTGCAGCCCCCCTGTTAAAGTGAAACTTTCTCATTTTTTATCAGTTCTTAACATATACATATTTGGTCACTGCTTACATTTTGTCACAAGGCAAGTTCACACAAAACTTATAAAGATTAAAGGTTCTCATATTTTAACAGATATTTTCATATAGAAATCGGAAAAGTTCACAACATTTCTCAAAGAGCAAATACACATAAAAACAATCCTATTTTATTTTGCATTTTTTTTATTAATCTAATAACTATGAATCTAAGAACTGGAAAAATATGTTCACACAAAAGTTATACTAATATTACATTTCTTTGTGACATAACTGAATAACTTTTATTATTTTCGGATGTTATTTATAAGCGGTTGGACTCCATTTTTTAGTTGAATTAACTCATAGAAAAGGACTACTGGTAAGTCACCTTCACATGTGTTGGATCCTGACTGTTCTGCCGAGACATGTTTGATAACAGGCATAGGGTGCTACGATATGAACTGTTACTGTGTTTGACGAACACATCTAATTGCGTTAACATTTATAGCTACTGATAATATATGGTTCTAAAATCATTTTTATTTGCAAAGATACTTTAAACAATAATGTTCCATTACTTTAAGAACTTAATTTTAGAATAAACTGAAAACATCATGTATGATTTAGCATGATTACCAAAATATTGTGAGGCAAAATTTAGTGTTTGTAATATATATTTTTAAATATTTCTTAGTTATGATTTTCTCATCATAGGACAAAATGGCAGCAAAATACTGACGATATTATAATTGATTCCATATATGGAATATTTTTAAATCAAGTGGAGATAACTCTCAATGGGTTGTGATGCAGCTGGAATCTGATAATACCGTTGATATCCCCTGTACAAGAAATTCATTATCTCATTGTAAGAGGTTTTTTTCTACAGACAATATTAGAAATATTCTTTTTGTAATGATAGGCCAAGATATACCTCAACAACATCTGCTACTTTCAAATGCCGATCGTTCCTACTTTTTCCTATTTCTAATGATACTAAAGCTGACAGCTGATCTCAAAGATTCATATCAGTATTTTCTCCTCTTTGTCAAATACCACATTATGTTTAGAATCATGTATTCTAGAATTGACACTGTATCCTCCAATTTTTCAAGGCTGTTATTGATCAGTGTGAAAATACCTGTAGTTTCGATGACCAGTGTTTGACAAACATAATTCCTTCTGGAAGCCCACAGAACAATTGCAGGACAACTAAATATCCTCAGTTTTAAAAAGCATTGCCTATTTTCGCATCTTTACACCTGGGATTTATCAGACCCAATCAAAGGCAGACATTGTGCCCCAAGTCTGCAGCAAATGTCAGTAAAACTTCCCAAATTGGAATCATAAATTTCCCCATTCATGTAATAACGAATATCTAATGTTATGACTATGTAGAGGTAACCTGCATTTCACTGATAACGGGGACAATACACAGGAAGAGGTCTTAATACCTGGTTTTACATTATTGCAATGAAAGCAATCTCAACATAAACTATAAAAAATACCTCTGAATTAATAAAATAAGAACTTTCAAAAATTCAATTTTGAACAAAGAAAGACTTTTTTCAAAGCTGCTTGCCAGGGGCATTTAGTGCAAAAACCAAAATAAATCACTGTAATATTGCCAATAGTCTAGCAACTTCTGCCAACTCATTCTGTAAAAGTAGGGCTTCCATAAAAGTATATTAAAGCATACTGGCATTTCATATTTTCCACTAGCCAGTCTGGCTACCTCCATCACGAAACAACTCTTCTTAAGTTCTTATATGATCTTACTGTCATTTACTCGTGGACCAGCATATTTGTCAAACACTGATCATCAGACTATCTCACTCACAGACACGGTAAGTACATTATTTTAAGTATTAATCACAAGACCACTACACATTTAACCTAGCCATCCTCAATTCCTTTAAAAAATATCACAAACAGGTTTTGTCATGCATACTCAGTGCATGATAGGAAACTTGATGTGAATGTTGACAAATAAATAAAACACAAATACAATGCATACACAATACAGTTTCCTGATGTGAATGTGACTAAGCTAGGGTTATGATGATACATGGGGTCTAACATTCAGATGGAGCTGTGGTGCCTACTCTAGTGTGGTGCTTCCCTCTCTAGCTACAGTGCTGGTATAGACGTGTCATTTCACAACACAAACAGGACCCATGCTTGTTTTAAAGGGAGACTTTGATGCCCGACATGGGGCAGGTGGTGAGGTGAGGTGAAATGGGGTTTAACGTCGCGTCCAACGACATGGGGCAAGATTAGCAAATGATCAGTGCCACATGAAAAATTGAGGCATTGTCTCTGTGTAATTCGATTAAGGTCGTCTTCAAATGATTGATTTGCATCATACAATTAAAGTTGGCACATAAACAACATGGGCTAAGGACTTTAAACAAATTTCACCTTACGTTTTGGTTTGAGTCTTGTGCCTCTATTGAGGTAATACCTTAGCCACTAGTCTGAAGCCCAAGTCTAGTAAATTCTGTTCGGTCTTGTAACCTCAGCTTATAATAGTCCAAATGACAACACAAAATGTACCCAAAATGATGCTAAGAGCCAAGTCTGGGGTGGTAGACTCCAAAGTTATTGGCACTGACTGAGGTAACTCAAGCCTTGGTTTTAGTCCAACACTCTTGCATGATGACTACTTGTGGCTACTATCAGTAAGGCGTTATCGAACACAAATGGACAGTATTCCAGTTACAGCAACTTGACAAAGTGGCCCTCCCTAACGTTCTATCACAACTGTCTAAAGCTGGCTTACTTGATGCTGTCTACATGACTACATGACCTTCATGTTTATATAGGAAAATATCCTATTGTTGTGAGTGAGCTGGACTCGCTCCACTTTGAACAGTATCTCAGTTATATTATGTGTCATGTTAGTGTGGGAGGAATCTCCAAGGATCACGATCAGGGAAAATCTGGGATTCCATTACCATGGTTACAGTCAATTAACATGACGGAAGTAATCATGGCAACAAAACTCTGATAATCTGAAATATCACTCCATTTGCACAGAGCACTAGTACTGACAAATGAAACGAGTTATCATTGTATATGTCATGCAGATCATAATTGTATATACTATGTATATAACTACATATATCATGAATACTACTTAAAAGAAGTAAAAGTACACCCGATTTAGTCATATGACTATAGCTAATTAAAAAGTCCACGTGCACAGGGCACTAGTACTGACAACTGAAACGAGTTATAATTGTATATGTCATGCAGATCATAATTGTATATATTCTGTATATAATTACATATATCATGAATACTACTTAAAAGAAGTAAAAGTACATCCGATTATAGCTAATGACAGAAACTATAGTCAAATTAAAAAGTCAAGTGTTCTACTGTTTGTAGCATGTATATCATGAAGTTGAGCAGCAGGAAGCTGGCAGGATAACTCGATACCACGCTACAGAAAGCAGCATTGTTACAACGAAATGTTATATACTGATCAAGAACCAGTTTTACTTATAATGGGAGGGAGGCCATAACGATGTTAGTGAAGCAATATTGCTACAGATCCTAGCATGACAGCAATATCAGTTACATCAGAAGCCACAGACTTGAGTCAGTAGAAAAAACTACAGAAATCAAAACAAAAAACACCTTCCTTTTTAACAATCTTTCTTATGATCCTCAGACTGGGAAGAACTTTACTAACTGGACTCATTTCATGTAGATATCTAATATTCTGTATGCAGGACAGATGCATCTATTTCAGACTTTGAAAATAAAATGGTGTTTTGGCCTGCTTTATGTTTGGCCATAAGGCCAGCTATGGATTCACTACTGCATAAGTTGGATGTTAGTGTTGTAGGATCAGTCAACACTACTGGACACTTCTCAATGGCAAATGCAAAATTCCCAACTCTATGGCCATGTAACATGGTCATAGTCAATTGTCTATTAAGAAAATCAGTTTATTGAACAAAATTTCATTTAGAAACATTTTTTTACTTTTGTGGTGCAGATTTTGCATATATGACTGCAGTCAGTAACATTGTTTTGACAAATGAAATATTTCTTATATAGGACACTTTTAAGAGGTAGTTCTAAATTGAAAAAGTTCATCAATTCCTCAAAACATGAAATACTTGGGGGTGTTTGCAAGTATCTGTAGGATGGCCAGTAAGAGTGCGGACAACCCCCAGTTAGTTTACAGGGAGGGTCAGTCAATAGGGAGCAGATCATGGGTCTTCCACACCAACCTGTTCCGGACTCGACTGTCCATATGGGACAACACTTTCAACTCCCCGTCTTTCTGGAAGCGACCATAGTCCTTCAGTGATGTATTTGCAGGCTGAAAAAACAAAACCTTCAGTAAATGAAATAAACCTATTTCCATTAGAGACGAATAAAGGAGAAAAATACCTTTACTGGGTGAAACATAAACACTCTTTTTTATCCCTTCTGAAAATTGAAGAATATCTGTCCAATTATTGTTACATAAACACCCAAAGCAAATCTACATAAATAAATAAACAAAGAATTTACATTAAATCCACATAAAACATTTCTCTTCTCTGGTTCAAAGTGCAAATTCTGATAAAATTTGGTAAAATTGTCATTGATATTTGTACCTCTGAAAATAAATGTTCAAAGTAATATGGTGTGTGAATCAATCTTACGGCCAAAAAATACACTACATATTCAAGAATGCTACATCAAGTCAGGCCAACAGTTGCTAGTCTACAACATGCTTGTTTATGCCAGGATGAGGATTACAAATGTCAGACTAGAATGCTCTCCGTCTCTATGCACTAAATTACCATCTACAAGGTTAATCAATAAGAACAAGACACACAAATAATCGTAAAAACTTAACCTTAAGAATCTATTTCAACTCAAGAAAAGAAATACGAATTAAATATGAAATGGCACTTGAATACCATTTGTTCAAAATATTATGAAGATAAAAAGATCCGATATTATAATTTTTAAATGAATATACCGCATACCTTTCTACGTCAAAGCATTAACAAGAGGTGACTTTTTCAAGTCCACGCCTATCATGATCATGAAAAGTGCCCAGAGCGAGGAAGCATCTAGGCTACGTGTCATGAATAAAATGGTGCATAAACAGGACAAAGTTAACAGGTCTGGCATACCGATAAACAATCAAGTTTGTGGATACCACATTACCCACAAAATCGTTCAGCATGTTCAGTAAATGAACTGAGCAGTCCAATGACGAGAAGAATCCTTTGGTTTATCAAACTTCATGAAACAGGAAGCAATATGTAAATCTTGACCCCTCATCTCCAGCCTTCAACGTTATGATGACCTCTCTTCTATATCCTTAAACCATTAGGATAACCTTACATTATTTTTGTCGCAGTTAATTTTGAGCTAGGAATTCACTGGTCATTCTGAACGTGGATTTTGTGCAAGTAATCCTGAGGGAGCTATAGGTCATTATGCAAAATAATAGAGAAATTATATGTGAACCATAACATGGTTTAAGTTGGAGAAATCACTGGAATCTCTTGAATCTGGAATCTGCACAGAAAAAAGCTTCACACATTGTACCCATGTCAGGAATTGAACCTGGATCTTCAGCTTGACAAGCGAACACTTTAACCACTAGTCTACCTGACCGCCCCTTATTACATAGCAGAAGTGAAAATCTAATTGTATTGACGTGCATGGTAGGTGAGTAACGAAACTGTTTTAACCAGAGCTGTTTCCTTGGATTAACAAACATCTCCGGTCAACATTTGTTTTTTAGTTGTTTAACACCGCACTCTGCAATATTCGAGCTATATGATGGCGGCCTGTAAAGATCGAGACGGGACTAGACAATCTTATGATGGATAATGTGAGTCGCCTCTCACGACCAGCATAGGTTGAAATGAACCAAGGTGCCGTTGTACAAAACAACCTTAGCACTACGACTGGCATAAGTCTATGTTAAGGTATGGGAGTTACGATCACCTTAGCGCTAAGATCACTTTGTACAACAGCACCCAATGCAAACTCATGGCATTTTGACCAGGAAAATCTTTAATGCAAGCATTATAAATTGGTTTGGCCTTGACAGTTTTGTGTACCAGAATAATATAATTATTAATACTAACTTGTCAGAATGCCACTATTGTGGAATTGCCATGTACTATTTCTATTTTGTCTATTCTCTGATATTTGAAAATCATATCGTTTCCTCTTGAGTGTATATAATGTAGCTGGTTTGAACAGGATAATTTTAATTTTGTTTTCTTAAAATTGTACATTAAAGCAGGCCACCTAATGCGAATAATCCAAAACAATTACCAAAATCCATATTTGAAAGACAATTTTTAAAATTAACAAATCAACAAATTCTCATGCATTTTGAAAAAGATTCAGTTCCATCAATCCTGTGTGTTAGAGAATGCTTGGAAAAGTTTGAAAATGTATAAAGTTGTGGACAACAGACAAATAACAACATCAACTCTCCATGGCTTTGTTTGCCTGATGAGCTTAAACAGGTACATAAGAAAGCATACAAATATATTCTCATCCAGGGTTTACCTTTTACTTTAAAAAAAACTAGGGGTCAAGGGGCCCCCCATTTATTAAATTCATGGGTCAATACAGGAAATATGAGGGTCCTGTAAAGTAATGAAATGGTGTAGTGTACTGTACTGTACTGTAGATTTGATAATTACTTAAATAACAGGACCGTTATATTTCGTGTGACAAGTTTGGTACTATGAATGTTACGTGTGTACCTCTGGATGCAATATTTATTTCCATCCATTCTATACTTTTGTGCATATTGGACGCACATTTGTGCATCGTCTGGACCCTGTACTAATCAATGCAATAATAATATGGAGGAACAAGAAACTGAACAACTAGTTTGATAACAAAAGTCTAACTACACAGTCAACAATCTACAGAACAAACCATGGGTTGCAGTAACAAGGGAGATAACTACACAGTCAGTAAGGGAGGTAACTGTCATTCCAAGCGACAGACGAGCATGGTCCTTTCAGACTTGTTAAAGATAGATTCACAGGTCAAAGGAGAATAAGTATATATTTCTTTTGCATTGCTAAGAAATTCAGATATCTCAAACAAATTTCTTTTGTGACTATATTATTTTCATGATGATAGCTTCAATATATTTGACAAGCCATGAACATTTCTATTTCACCTGACAAATGACTTTCCTCAAATTCTGTAGCTTAGAAATTTTCATGATAATTTTGTCATATACATTGTACAAATATAGTGATGCCTGAAAAATATGACATCTTAAGAGCCAAATTTTCAGGTCATTGGTTAAAATGTTTTCAGTTTCAAAAGTGTCTCCTACATATATACAAATACTTTACCCAAGATAAAACCATGAAGGGTCAATTAACTGTTTTCCTAAGATATGGAAATGTTAATCTAAGGAAGTTTTCAGTTTGGCTTGATACTGATTTCTCCATTTTGAAGGTGTCTTTGTCCTAATTTAGCAATGCAGAAGGCGGCGGCATGTACGAATTCAAGACAAGAGAGACATGTTTAGTGTGAGTTAATTCAGCAGATTCTGCAGGCAGACAGGCAGTTGGGTGGGTGACCGACAAACCTCCGTGGGCCTTTGTCCTGCTAGCTTCGCCAAATGCTATGAAAGAAAGATAAAATATTCAAAGCCGTCATAGGTGGGGCTTGAGCAAAGAACTTGGGCTGGAGCTGTGGTGTGGGTTGGGTTGTAGATGTGGGTTGGGTGGGGTTGTAGATGTGGATGGGTGGGTGGGGCTGTAGGTGTGGTGTGGTTGGGGCTGTAGTTGGGTCTGGGTGGGGCTGTAGGTGTGGTGTGGGTTGGGCTGTAGATGTGGTCTGGGTGGGGCTGTAGATGTGGTGTGGGTGGGGCTGTAGATGTGGTGGTTGGGGTTGTAGATGCAGTGTGGGTGGGGTTGTAGATGTGGGTTGGGTGGGGTTGTAGATGTGGGTGGGTCTGTAGATGTGATGTGGATGGGGCTGTAGATGTGGTGTCGGTGGGATTTTAGATGTGGGTGGGTGGTTGGGTCTGTAGATGTGGATGGATGGAGGGGGCTGTAGATGTGGTGTAGGAGGAACTATAGATGTAGTGTGGATGGGGTTGTAGTTGTAGTGTGTGTGGGATCTTAGATGTGGATTGGGTGGGGTTGTAGATGTGGGTGGGTGGGTGGGTCTGTAGATGTGGTTTAAGTGGGGCTGTAGATGTGGTGTGGGTGGGTGAGTGGGTGGATCCGTAGATTTGAATGGGTGGAGGGGGCTGTAGAAGTGGTGTAGGAGGAACTATAGATGTGGTGTGGATGGGGCTGTAGTTGTAGTGTGTGTGGGATTTTAGATGTGGGTTGGGTGGGGTTGTAGATGTGGGTGGGTGGTTGGGTCTGTAGATGTGGTGTAAGTGGGGCTGTAGATGTGGATGGATGGATGGGTTTGGAGATGTGGTAGAGAGGGGGTTGGAGACAGTGGAGGGATGGGGCGGAGATGTTTTGGGAGTGTGGAAATAAGTGAGCAATGGCTATATGGTGGTTTGTGTGAAGATACAATGGTAATGTCTTAATTGTTATTAATGACATAAAGTTGTACGTAGATATGTACATGTAACCTGTATCAGACTAGCTTAGTTTCTAATAGTTTCTCTAATACTAAAAATTTGGGATGTCACGATACAATTATTGCTGATGTGGTAAAGTATATATAGTAGAGTCCCTGTTCGCAAACTACCTTAGATGTGTGCCCGAATATATGAAAGATGAATGAATCGGTCCATGTGTGAAATGATACAGGATTGAAATATGCATCGTTACAGGAATAAAATATGAATCGATACAGGAATGTGTGTGTCACGCATCATATCATCTGTGGATATTGATGCATCAATGTATTGGTGAATCGTGACATCCCTAAGAAGAATATATCTATTTTTTTCAAATCTGAATACTACAAAACTTTTCATGTATATAAATGTTTAGTCCAGTTTACTGGTTTGTGTTGTGGTTAAAAAGGTCACTAAACAATGAAGGTTAATGTCACGGTCTGCTTAAACAAAACAAATATTTCAACGTCAAAGTCATGAGATCATAATGGAAGGTCAAGGTCATGAAGTTGTAAAGGAGGGTCAGTGGCATGATGGGAGAAAAAGAGTGTAGAAAGGTCTATCCGACATCCAGACTGTTATACATTGGAGTATCATGCAAGCCACTAACAGTAACTGAAGATGGAGTCAGTGATAACCGTGATGTAGAGAAACAGGAAAGCTGATGGGTGGATGGCCAGATGATCAACTTATAGGACTACAACAATGACGGTGGATTAGTGAAGGAGGTCCCTGACTCGGAGTATGCACAGCTGGATCAGTCTTACTCCACATGGGCATCTTGATACATGACGAGGATGATGGAAGCGATGATGATGAGGTTGAATGACGGCTGTGCATACTCTAAATTAGGCCAATCAGAAGAGACGTGAGATGTGAACCAAATTAAGATCTAACCATAATGAGCTGCAACATAGATTCAGAAATGCGAAGCTTACAACACAGATAAACTACACTCTTGATCATTTGTCTTCCCATTAAAACCATGACACGCACTGGAATCAAACGTTGACACAACACAACCCTTGAATACAGTTGGATCACATGTACTACTATGAAACCATCGAAACCATATGAAAATATCGAAAATATATTACATATTTTTTTCCAATTTAAGCCCATGCTAGGTCCGGTGAACGGGGTTGATATATTGAATATATAATCCAAGAGGGAAGTATTGTCCATATCAACCCTCACACTGATGCATGATGGGAAAGTGACTACTTACCATACGCAGATCAACAATGCTGAAAACAAACAGTAAAGGTTTGACAATAAGGAAAAATCTAAAAGTTCTATTTCATTTTAAATGGATGAGCCTAGTTCCTACTTTGCAATAAAGTGATTTACTGCAGACCTACATGGGTAATTTTTATCTTTACAGATACAGAATAATTAATGACATCATAAATCAATATATCATAATATCTTTGAGTAAACATCAACACTAAAATTTCCAATCAACAACACCCCTGGGTGCTACGTACCATCACGTCCAGCTCTGGAATAGAGGACAACACAATCACATTGCTAAAGTCAATCATACCAGATAAACAAAACTGAGACCACTCCTCATGCAGAATGAAGCAATCTTCCATTGATATTCAGTGAAGGACCAGTGATTACCCATGGCCACCATTAAAACACTTATGAATTTGTTTCCGATGTAACCATGGTAACTGGTTCGGTTGGCGGGATTTGTTCCGACTGCCAAACTTACTATAGATCTAACTGAAATACAGAAATACATTGCACTGTGAATCCTAGGAGAGGAAATCCTTTATGGTGCAGGGACTTGTCTTAACCTACTCTCAGGCCGAAATTCAACCCTCAGTCTTCAAGAAATGTCAGTAAAAATTCCCGAATTGGAATAATTCATGTTAACATAGCCATAACTGATATTAAAGGCTCTGTAGAGGCGACTTATCATTCAGGACTAAAAAGACGAAGAGGTTTTTATGCTTAGTTTTACATTACTGCATAAAATGCCATGTTAAAATACATCTGAATTGAAGAATTAAGGACTTTTTTAAAATCCCAAATTTGTTCCCCCTAATTTGCCTGCCCACACTACTTCTTATACTATGGGAGTGGTGAAATATCAGCTAAGGTTTTTTCTACCCCATCTTGTTCTGATTATGCAAGAAGGGATAGATCTATTGGCAGTTTTCGTTCCGGGTAGTTTTACACCACCTTTAGCAATATTCCAGCAATATCAAGGCAGTGTACACCAGTAACAGGCTTTACACATTGTACCTCTGCATGGGAAATGACCCAGGGCACGGCAATTAACAGTTTAACCAAAAGGCAATGCCACTGCTATTTTGATGAAGATAATATAGAAACATGACATTCTTCTCCGATGTACTTCACACATTTAGAGAACAATACACTCAGCAGTGATGATATTTTTTCTAAGCCCAGAAAGTAAACTGAGCAATAGTAATATAATTGCATGTACCTATTCTGTATCTCATCGATGAGCTGTAGAGCTTCGTGGTCTCTCTTCACTTCATTCACATATAGGGAGAGATCCTGAAACAGAACCCAACATCACTCAACAGCCTTCACCTTTCAGCAGAAAATAACCAGACTACTTCCTTCAGTAAGACGGGATATAAGGGCTGGGACGATACACCAACTGTGTGATCCAATACGTATCACGATACCTTACTCACGATTCCATATGTATCACGATCCTTGCATGTGCTCTTATCTGTGGTGCGTAAGCCATCTTGTTCATAGACATGGCTAAATATACCTGGAACACTGATGATTTACAAGTATGGCGCAATGGATAAAAGTATTTCACTATTAATTTGCAATACTGATTAGTGTTTAGTGGAACGGTTTTCAAAGTAAACATTTAAGGTCAGAATTGAATTTTTTTACTTAGTGTGCGACTGTGATCGATACTTGCTGCAAGAAATAAAAAATTGTGATCCACCGATGCATTGGTGTATCGTTCCACCACTACAGGATATGTAAATAATGTGAAGGAGAAATCACTCAAATCTGTTGGTTCCAGAAGTAGAATCAACTTGCCCTTTAGGGGTGTGTGACTTTCACGTCTCGTTGACTACTTTTGCAATCAACTGATTCAACTGCTTTCTCTATTTTATCCATGTTATGATTGATATATTTTTTCTCGATTTTGCATAATGACTTATAGTTGCATCAGTTTTACTCAGTGCATCCTCCTGAGGCAAGGGAGTAAATTGACTATAAAAGTCCAGTTCCCACCTTAGTTTGGCTGGACTAACAAGTCTGTGCATTACGAAATCGACATCAGGTTTGCAAACAATATGGATTTCAACGTGCAGATTTCAGTTGACTGAAGGAATTGCAAAGGATGACAGATACCAACAGATATTCTCCAAATCTTTTTTAATCAAGGTGCTCACGTGATTTGATGCACCTCGCGAGGTAAGACCTGTTCTATTACAATATAGAGCTTGATCATCGATCATTTCGTCTTGACTGGGTACCGCCATTCTGTTAGAAGCAAATGGAGGTGATATGATAGGTGGAATCTGATTGGTCAATAGAAGGGACATAAAAGGGACATAACTCATAAAAGCTTTGATCAAACCTGGTTCGGCAAGGGTAGAAACTGGCCTCTTAAAGTCTGTTAACCTTGCCGCGGGAAGATGTACTCAGTGTTAAAATGCACATTGAGAGTCAGCTGCCACAACACTAGCATGACTTATGGAGTGAGTTGATGGAGTAAGCACCTATCCAGCCATGATACAATGAAGAATGGGATACAGGAGAGATATTCCGAATCTCCACTGGTGAGCTGAATAAATCTTCATGAGTTACACCCACCTGCATGGCCTCCAAGCCTTTTTCTAGGTCTATTCTCTCAGGGTTTGACTTGTCTGTGTTCTTTATGAGTTCCTGAAATATAAGGAGATTTGATTACAATGTTACCATGGTAACAGAAAGCCAAACAAAAGATTTTAAAGAGGATCTTAATGTAGAACTCTGAACCACATTTCGTTTTCTTTGACAATGCAAAACTCCAAGCGAAGTCCCGAGTTTTACACTATTGCACCGAGATGTTAAAATACATTCTTATTTGAGTTTTTTCCAGTTTGTCTGCCAGGGCAGGATTAGAATCCTAGATAAAACCCTGTCCTTGCAGAAGTAAACAAGTAGTTTTAGAGACTGGTCTGACCTGATGGTTCTAGCACTACAAACATTGTACCACTAATCTGTGCCTCACCCTCAACAGCAAGTGGTACTTGAGCACTCTCTGCATTGGCACATGGAGCAAGTCCCGCAACCTAAACTTGCCCTCGTTGGCTTTCCGTTCACATTCCTGAAACAGATCACAATTAGAGATAAAACCTGATGGACACAGAACCTTCCAGTGCCTACACGTCAGTGAACATTCCAAAACATGTGTTCGCGATATTCCCTGTCCCGATGCGGCAGTCCACCGATGTAATACTCGCACCAACAACACTAATCCCTTTCAAGCCAACAGCACCGCTGTGACAAGCATGGGTTGCTGAACACAAATCCCAACCGGGATCTTCACTGGGCTTATTTCCATACCGATATGACACATATGTACACAGTAAAGAATATGCTGTAATCTTGCATGTGGATCAGACACATGATTGATCGAATCATACCCACGATCACTACTCACCATTATTTTATTTCGGATGACATCATTCTCACAGACTTTGTCAATCATTTCTTGAGCTGCTGGGAGGTTGGAACAGAAATCTCCATAGATGAGCAGCTTCTTCTTGTAGTTGACGAAGACGCTGCTGATGGTGGGGTTGCCTGTCTCGACAGCACGTAGCAGATCGGCGGAGAATGATCGGTGGACAATCAGGAGCTCCTGTAACCAAAGCAATGCTACATGTTTTTATTATGCCTCAAAGCGAGATTGACCAATCAGAGAGCAGAACTCTTAACCCCACATGAGCCTGTATACCGTCAGTAAAAATCCAAGATGGTTGTTACTGACCTAAAATGAGACCGTATACCATCAGTAACAGCCATTTTGGATTTTCCAAAATCAACCTCACATATTTCACATGAAAATTCTGGTACAGAAATTCATTATTCGACACCGTTTTGTGTTTTAATATCATTAATTTTGATGTGCAAGGATGTTGATGTTTTTCTGCATCACATTTGTGACTTTAATAAAGATTATAGAAAGTTAAAATTATCAACAAGGTTTGGCCTCTGAGGTTTGAAGAGCAGTCTCCCTTTGATCTTAACATCTTAGGTTGTAAGTGTTAAGTTTTAAGTTTTGACATGTTTTGACAGTTTTTGCGACAAAGATATCAAATAGTGTAAACATTTCAGCATAATAAATCATATGCCGAGAAAATCGGCTTAAGCCCCTCCCAATGTTGTTCTCCTAAATGTTTAAAGCATTCACTCATCACACTGAAGACCCGGGTTCAATTCCCAACATGGGTACAATGTGTGAAGCCCATTTCTGGTGTCCCCTGCCATGATATTGCTGGAATATTGCTAAAAGCGGCATAAAACCATACTCACTCACTCAATGTTTGTTTGTTGTTTAACACCGCACTCAGCAATATTACAGCTATATGAAGGCGGTCTTTAAATAATCGAATATGGACCAGACAATCCAGTGGCTAACATCATGAGCATTGATCCGAGCAATTGGGATGGATGACATGCATCAACCAAGTCAGGGAGCCAGACCACCCAATCACGATAGTCGCCTTTTACAGCAAGCATGGGTTGCTGAAGACCTATTCCACCCCGGATCTTCACAGGTGTGAAATATACTACTCAGGGGAAGAACACACAAAATTTTTTATGATTATTGTTAATTTGTCATGACATGACATGACAGACTACCTATAGTCATATGAAAAAATCAAGTGTGCTTTAACTTATTTTGAGTAGTTTGTATCAATTTATTTAAAAAATTCAAGACATGATGGCAAACACGTGAAATGTTTTCTTTTCCAATTGATCCAACATTTCTATACTTTCATTATAACACCACTTACCTCTATGTGGGCAAAGACCACTTCTCTGTCTTGTGTGGCAATAAAGGCATGTAGGGGCTTGATGAAATGCTGCAATCAAGACATAAGAATCAGTTACCACGTACATGGGACATATACATGTAAGATGTAACAGCATTACTGGCTGCAGTCTAAACTCACTATCACCTCAGATCTTAGTCAATATCAGTATTACCTCCCGAGACTGTAGCCCGGTGCATGACGTACCTGGTTGACCATGGTGAGGGCATCCACATAGTTCTTCTCTGTGTCCAGCATCTCCTTAATACAGTGGTCACGCTTGGTCAGTGGCACAGGCTGAAATAATATGTGGACAGTCAACATGGAGAGCAACCTCAATACTCAGCTACAGCAATACGTTAAATACAATACAATAATTTGATACATCTCATTTCACAATCTAAATGACTGAAATACGTCATAACAGCATTATTGTAACTACAGTACTGTCAGAAATGCTAGAAAAATGCTTTTCACCTCGAGCTCACATCCATCAATAAACCTCAGATCACAGGTTCCAGCGCGCAAAATAATGACACGATTACCTTTACCTGATGGTACCATGGTTTTAGTCTACCTTCTTTGTTATTTTTATCATACTGTTGATTTGTTGGTATGAAAGCACCAGAGTTTGAACAGTTTGGTAATACACCCTCTCATAACTAATAAAAGGTTTCCCTCTATCACTGTCACATGTAAAGAACTTGTATGCATTTCCTACTACAGACTCCATGTCCTGTACCAGTGGTACCATGGCTATGGCTGTGCATGTGTAATGCAACATTCATCATGTGTTTGTTTTGTTTGTTTTTTGTTTAATGCCACACTCGGCAATATTCCAGCTACCAGTATATGACGGCAGTGTGTAAATACTCGAGGCTGGACCAGACAATCCAGGGATTGACATCACGAGCAACGATCTATACAAATGGGTTACGATTACATGCATCAATCATGTCAGAAAGCCTGATCAGCCGATCCCGATAGTCGCCTTTTACAGCAAGCATGTTTTGCTGAAGACATTTTCTACCCCGGAACTTTATCATGTGAGCAGTGTTGACACAGAAAATGCAGCATCAAGTTGGTATTTTCTAATATGGACATCTAGAATGATCTCCAGTCAACTTGTTTTTTAGATGTCTTATGATGACTCCACTATAATATTGTTATAACAGTCGTGTGCGCATACTTCTTAGAGGTGAAACGATACACTGTTGCATTGTGAGTTTTCATGTTATCTAACTGTTGCATTGTCATGTTTAATGACCCCAGGGTTTTTGTCAGTAAAATAATAATCGCAAAATGTGTTGGAATTAAGTTTTCTACTAAAAATAGCCGCAACAAACATTTACCTACAGCTAGCTTTTCCTTTTGAACGTGCCCTGAAATATTCATAGTCAAGACATTTCCATGTGATTTGACGTAAATATAAATATCGCGATATGTATCGTATTGTGACCTTTGTATCAAGATACATATTGTATCGTGACCTTGCTGTATTGTTTCACCACTAATTCTTCTGTAGTCCGTTTCAGACTTCCCTGATTGGACTAAGAATAAATCTGAAGATGCTGTGTTGTTCTAATTTTTCTCCTGTAAAATTGTCGATAGGACTTTTTGTGACTGAAATGCTTCAAAACACAGGTAGGTAAGATTGTATTGGACATTTCAATAGCAACAGTCTGTGAAACATTCTATCTTCTCTTAATGGGCAAAAAGCATTTTTCTAGCATTTCCAACAGTACTTTAGATCATATAAGCCTGTAAAAAATCAAAACGGGGATAGCAACAATAATGTCTTGAGTACAAAGGATGACAGCCAGGTCACACATTGTTACCCATCCTCACGTTACTGGACTCTAAGACAACCTTTGGGTCCTGATGTTATTATTCATATAACTAACATGAAAGTAAGGGTATTACACAATGTAACAAGAGAACCTGTATACTAGGAGAGTCATCAGGTCATGAAAAGATTGGTATACCAATATGACCAAGAATCAGAGAGTAGGGTTGGTCTCATAATCAAAAACATTTATGTTTTCAGGCTGACATGATGTAAGTAGTGACAGTTAGAGTGGCTGCCCCTACTTGTGATTTCTGTGGCTCCTCCCTTTGCAGTCCACACAGGTCATCATAGATCTTGTCCTCCTCATCCTGGTACACACAGTCATACAGCTCTTCTGTGTCCTCGAGGTCGTTCTCACTGCACACACACCAGTACACATCAGTATTATCACATCATCGTACACTGACTTAGTGATGATTGGTACATATCAGTATTATCACATCACATCACATCTCATTAAGCATGTTAAGTGACTTAGTGATGATTGGTACATCCTATTATTGTTTGTTTGTTGGTTTAACACCACACTTCCAGCCTGTCTGTAAACAATTGAGCCTGGACCAGATAATCCAGTGATTGACATAATGAGCATTGATTCACACAATTGGGATACGATGACATGCATTCTTTCCCTGCACTATACAATGTTACAGTCTTTCCATGATAATTCAGTAATCAAGACCTGATATGTGGTCATTGATGTTTCAGTCAGGTGAGGTAAAAATGAATATTTTATTCTCTTATTACACTATATTTTTAGAAACAGTTAGTCAGTAACATCATTCAGACATTTATCTACCTCCTAATCATGCTCTAACACTGATATCACTGACACAAACATACATCAGTGGTACAGTGGTAAGTAATACAGTGTCATGATTGTACTGGTCTACCACAACTTCTACTTACAATGCTGACTGCAGCAAACTCATCATACAAAGCAAATATTAAACTTAACTTCCATTTTAATCATTCGTTTAAAATTATTTCAGCTAAAATATATATGTTCCCAACTGTGGTTAAATCCTTTAGCATGTTTAGATGCTTTATGACAACCCACGAATATCCATGCCTGCTAGCCTATTCATTACACATGCAAACAGAATATATGTGCAACCAACTAGTTTCACGTGAGTGACATGGTTTTAATGTCACACGAGTATTCAGTTGTCATGTCAGTGTAATGCGGGAAGTGAGCAAACGCTTTATTTTAACCACTCGACTATCCCACCGCCCCACACAGTAATGAACACCACAATGATGAAACCCATTAGCACAGGTATGGCAGCCTCCATAATTCATGCCAACCTGCTAGCCCAATACTATTTAATTGTGCTGTGGACAAGTAATAATCCAGTGATGGTTGTCTTCACTGCCTGGTAGCATTTCAGGATCATAATTCTGAACCAGTTCTCAATGTGCAGCGTTAGAAATTAGCACTAGTCCCATAGTCCCTGCCAAACTGCCCAACAGTTAAGGTATCATAAGGACAAGTAGAGATTTTTTAGGGGTTGGCCATATGTTATCATTATAAGGACAAGTGGACATGGTGGACTAAAACTGTTTGTTTCTAACGCTGAATGTACCTATATTGCTACAAATTGTAGAACTGAATTACACTGACAGAACATGTAAACACAGGAAACAAGACCTATTCCCATCCAACAAATGCCAAGTCCGTGGTCTAGGAGCCATCTTTACTTACACTGCCATGTCAGGTAACTCTCCATAGATGTTGTCAGGATCATCGGTGTAATGATTTGACTGGGCCTGACTATCCGGGGGGAATCCGCTACAACCAATAGGAGCCAAGAGTTTCAGACATCAAGTTTCAGACATCTCCACAAGACTGGTTAGTTATCACATGGACATACAGTTATCACGAAGGGTGTGTGGTATTATCGGTATATCGGTATATTGAGGTTCATTCTTGCCACGATATGTATCACAATATCATTTTTTCATGCTCATTATATCCGGCAATTTCTAATAGTGATTTTATCATGTATTTAATGTTATAGACTTAATGCCCTAGATTGTGCATACAAGATGGCCGCGTATTTATTGACTGAGTAAACATTATGTTGTACCAGCATCTTGCTTTGTTCCATTTCCTTAATCATGTTTATGTATCAGATTGCTTTTGAATTCAAAATTTAGAATAAATCATGATACATATCACAATATGGCTGATAAAATATTGTGATACACTTTAAACCTCCAATACCCAGCCCTAGTTATCACACAGGTGAATATGACAAGTTTACAGCGTTATCGTATTATCAGCTCCCCATTAATCTGATCACTTCACGTTAATTGTTCTTGGGACTGTCCCCTTTCTTACCTGCTCCTCCAACTGTTGTGGAGATTTTCTCACCACAATTTCTTTTATATATATAAATTGTACAATAGATGCTGTGAATTCTTACACCGTTATCAAGCTGGAGGGGTTGGTTATAGGCACTCCATTGATAACGGTGTAAGAATCTACTTCTAAACTTCGCTACATACAATACACCAGAAGTTGTCATCCACAAAGCTGTATGTTTTCATTATTAAGCGGTTACCATGATTGCGTAAAGTCAGGAACTGAAACAAAGTCATATCCACCTGTATGATATACATGATATATGAACTGACAAATACAATCTCATTATTATGCATTATTTTTTCTTCGATCTGACACAGTTCAATTCCATACTGCAATCAGCATGATCAGTCACATCCAAAGGTCATGCAGATGTACATGAAGTTATCTTTAAAAAATAATGCATAATACAAGTAATCATAGCAATTATACAGTGTTAAAGGACAAATACCTACATGTGTGTGTGTGTGTCACTGAACAAGTGACATGTGACGCAACTCAACCAACAGTGCCATGATACACTCATACACCCCTATCACAGTGGGACTAGTAATACTTGTTAGTATCACTTTCAGCATGGTCAACTAACTCTGTTACACACAAAATAAATTCTAGCAATGCTTTCTACAGACAATATGTCTGAATTGGATGGTTTGGTCCAAACCGCACGCTATATGTGTATAGCATGCATGCTGTACAAACCAGGCATTGATCAAGCAGAGAAGGCTTGTTTCTGTCATGTGACTGACTTACGTGGCTAGCAGCGCTATCTGGTTGTAGTAAGGGTGCTCATGGAGCGGATGTTGAGATACAGAAGGAAAACTTCTACAAACAAAACACTATCACTGTCATACCCGTGTACTCCTTATACACTCCATGATTAACTATCCTTATATAGTACATGAGGTGAGGTGAGGTGAAATGGGGTTTAACGTCGCGTCCAAGATTATTGCACTTATATAGCGATGTGCATGTACGTGTGTGTGTGTGGCTGCTTGTACTAGTCCGGACCGGCCGATTTATAGTGCTAGCTCACTGAGATACCATGCCGCAGTTTAACATAAAAAACCCACTCAGACACAGTATACTGACTCCGAGCCGACCAGTCCTTGTTTTAGCCCCTTAATGTTGAGCGCTAGTCCTGCACCATGACCGTGGAATATATTTATTTTATGAAAAAATAATAATCTAGAAATGCATACAAAAGCAAGTCTAGCCATCTCAAGCTAGCTCTATTCCACATAGAGAATTGTTTTTATTTTTAGAGTCAAGAAGGATATTGTGTAATATAAGATTTCAGAGACTAAATGTTAGTCTAGTTGAGCGCCAGACAGGGTAACAAGTACCATCTTTTAACGTCTTTTGGTATGACGCGGCCGGGGATCAAACCCCGGACCTTCCGCTCTCCGGGCGGAGGCTCTACCACTAGACCCCGGAGGCAGTCATATGGTACATGTAGTATTGGCTTGCACAGGAACATATACTGCACAGTTCACCCACCCATTTGTGAAATCAAAAGAATTGTGACTTGTTAATTCATACCAGAGTGAACACTGTTTAGCCACAGTGAGTGAGTGAATATGATTTGATGCCACTTTTAGCAATATTCCAGCAATATCATGGCAGGGGACACAAGAAATGGGCTACACACATTGAACCCATGCAAGGAATTAAACCCAGAACTTCAGCATGGAGAGTGAACGCTTTAACCACTAGGCTACCCCACCACCCTTTTACCCTTAGTAATTGTATGCTTGTAATTTATGCTTCAGATTCCAGATTCTCCAAATGAAGTAACAATATTTCCTCCTTAACCATTATTCATGCTATTTAATCCCAAACTGTAGCAACAACTGAATGTTAAACAACTGCAGTAATGAAAAAGGCCTGATATAATGAAGCCACAAGGCCACTTCAGATAAATTCTGGACATCAAATGTAGAATTCTGTCATCAAACAGAAGGAGGATTATATCAGTTATCATTACCAGTAGAACAATCATAGATTCTCTATTCACACTTCACAGACCTTGGCCATGTTGGCAAGAACACCAATTAATTCCTGTCAACAATAACCATGGCAACAATAATTGGAATTAATTTAAATTTAACAACCTAATTTAAATCCCATACATATACCTTTTATGAAAAAAGAAGACATTTCACGGAAATCTTTGTAAACATAAGAAGTCAATGCATGTGAAAAGACTGTTGCCATGTATATGATCAACAAGAAGGCTTGATGTGACAATCTGCCATGTTTGCCAAGGGAGATAACTTTGCCTACAAAGTCAACCTCAAGCTGCTTAAAGCAACTGCAATCTATCATGTTAATGTTGCAGGTATCTCAATCGAATATGCATTGTATAAACAAAACATTACATGTTACCTTGTTTTTCGTCGTGCTATGTCAGTTTTGGACAATACTGACATTGTCTCCAGAACCTAAAATGGAAATGACACATATCAGACACTTCATTGTATACATCCAATATGTCGGTTAAAGTATAATTAGAACTATCTGTGTGTTTCACTCAGGAATTTATCTAGGTATCCAAAGTCAGTGGCCTTGGCACATAAACTGGGGAGAAAATCATTATCTTGTTCAAAATCGGAATTTCAGAGTTATTTTTAACATTGCATGGAATTCACTACATGAACCTAAGCATAGAGCCTCTTTATTGGTCCTGTAACCAGTGAAGTAGAAGTCACCACTACAAAGCCATAACATTGGTTAGGAACATATTAACAGGAAGTGAGACATTTTCATTCCAATGTGGGAACTTTTGCTGCAGACTTGGCACTGAATATCGACCTCTGAGCAGGTCTAGATAATCCCCGAAATAAAAACTTTACACCCTGTGTGACAATACATTTACATCACAGTTGGCTGGCAGATCATATGACCAAACACTTTAGTATCAACAAAAACAATTAACAGATGTGTACCAAGTCTATATCCAAGCTATTTGGTCATATGCAGTGATGCAGGTCTCAGACGTTTACCACTTCGGTGAAACCCACGAGCACGAGTATGGTGCTGACAAACCTAGAAACATAATCAAGGGAACCAAGATTTGTACCCACAATCATAGGTTTCTGGCTTGCCCAAGGGACGCAACCCCTCATCATTATGATGTAATGCATTACTTGTATCATATTAAGATAAAAGTCAAAGCATATGCTGCTTTAAGCATTGTTAAGCAGAATTTTCAATATATTCACTAAATATTCTGATATATGTATGATTTTTGTGTCCCTATTTGAGGATTTCACGACAAATGTCAGGAACAATAATAATGTTTTGAGTGAGTAAGGCTTAACCATGTTAATACCTCTTTGAATAGGTATTTTTCAGTAATCACAGCTAAATGTGAGAGAAAAGCCCAAATTGATTCAGCTTCTAAATGCAAGGTGCTGACAGACCAACATGACCAAGGGATTTGAACCAGCAAATCAGGACACAATTGTGACATAATTCTGTATGGTAGACAACTGGATCACACGTGCCCACAAACCTCTTCCAGGAAAAAGTTTTTTGATTTGCTGACATGTCCGAGGATAGCTTCCTCATATCTTCAAAAGTTTCCCTGTCGTCATAGTCATGTCTATCAACATGATAACACATACATGTCAAAGTGAAATAGTAATTATCTGGGATATGGCTCTATGTTATTTGTTGTGAATAGGACATGTACAATACTGTGAGAAATATTGAATTGGTTTCACTTTGACATGTAGTATTACAAGCAGTCATTGTGATTCCGAATACCTGATTTGTCCATCATTGCAAACAAGTGGTTTTTTTCCATTCAGTCTTCTTTGGAAAAGTAAACAATTCATCAAAACTTAAATCAGTTTTGCAAAAATAACTGCCTTGTGACATCTTTCCATTACAGTTTTCCAACTCATCATGAGCATTTGGATGGCTTCAACATGTGGTCCTTATTGGCTCATTGGAAAGGGACCTGTGAAGATCCGGGGTAGAATAGGTCTTCAGCAACCCATGCTTGCCATAAAAGATGACTATGCTTGTCATAAGAGGCGACTAACGGGATCAGGTGGTCAGGCTCGCTGACTTCGTTGATGCATGTCATTTTATCCCAATTGTGTGAATTGATGCTCATGATGTCAACCACTGGGTTGCCCGGTCCAGACTCAATTATTTACAGACCGCCGTAATATAGCTTGAATATTGCTGAGTGCGGCGTTAAACAACAAACAAACAAACATGGAAAAGGATTAAGTTTTTGTCTTTTTTGTTTGTTGTTCAATGCTGCACTGACTGCAAATAATCGAGTCAGACAATGCAGTGATCGATAATGTGAGTAACGATTCATGTCGTCAGGGTACAATAACACTATCAACCAAGTCACTGAGTCTGACCACCCGATCCATCTGGTCACCCTTACGACCAGCACAAGTTGCTTGGGACCAATTCTTAGCCGGAATATCCACAGGGTGGGACAAATTTACAACAAAACGACCATCACTATTAGAAGGAGGAAAAAGGTCCGGCGTTTTGACAGCTAATATTTTCTTACGTTAAACCCCAGATTGGTTGTTCTCTCGAAAAAACTTGCCTGCATTTTGAAACCAACAAAACCATCATGTTTCAATATGTTTTGACAATGGAAAGCACATAATTCTACTATATAGAGTTTTACCTTTCGGAAGTCCTTCACATCAAACAGGTCCTGCGGCTGGAACAGCTGCATATCATGTAATCCAAAAGGTTTTTTGCATGTCTGCAGAAATGTGCGAATATTCTTCATGCACAAAAACTGAAAAAAAGAAGAAAATGACATTTCAGCATATACTTGTTTAACATGTTAACTATCTGTAAATATGCACAATATGTTTTATATGGATGAATGACATGCACTTGTAAACAGCGTTAGAAATTGGCACTAGTCCTGTAGTCCTTACCAAACTGCCCAATAGTTAAGGTATCATAAGGACTAGTAGAAATTTGTCCATGTTAAGGGTTTTGCTATATGTTATCATTATAAGGACTAGTGGACAAAAACTGATAATTTCTAACCCTGGTAAACAATGTGTACATTGCCTTACACTCATTGGATGCTTAGGAACAGGAAGTGAAATACAGACACTTCAGACAAATCAGGAATTTGTTCCAACCTGACAAGGAAAGGATGTTTGCAGATAACACTACATATACTTGGTACACTGTTTTTCACTGTGTTCGTACAGCAGCAAAAGGGAATTCCCCATGTTGGCTAAATGTTGATGGACCATAATGCACTTAAATCACTTTAGTCACACTGTCATATGTCTAGTGATGCTAAATCGGCACCGTTTTGCATCAAAATCTCCATGTTCCTTGTGGCCTGGCTGACAAGACGTTGTTCCTATCAACCAGTTGGTATTTGACCTCTGAAACTGTTTACTTCAGGATCATTCTATCAGATTTTTTGGTTTTTATCGTCAGTAAGGTGATGTTCGCCAAAGTTCTTCATTGGACATGTTAGAGACATTACAAATCTTGGTAAATATTAATATTTGAAAATTGAAACAGAAACGAAACATAAATTGATACATGGGTAGGCATACATCAGTAGCCATATATTGGTAGGCATACATATGTGTGGAAACTTTCGGTGAACCTTGACTTCCCTGATCATGCTGATGGAAAACAATGTCAAACTGTGAAACATGAACTGAGAGGGTCTCCATACAGTAATACTGCCAGCAGAGATCACATCACAGTGGAAGGAGATTCCACAATATTATCTGGTATTTTGAAACCTGTACTAAGCGCCAACATTTACTGACACTCCTATTTTCTCGTGTACGCAGCAGTGTAGAACATGAACATGGTGTACAGGACCAAGGGGTAGATAATTTCCTTGTATCTATCATAAAAAGAGGTTTTAGTTTCATCAATGTTTGAACTAAATTTGTTCCCTACCATGACAGATATCTCTCTGACAACAAATTCTACTTGTGTATGGTTTTATAATCGCTCCCCTTTGTCATTTCCTTACATTTGTTACATGCCCAGAGTGCTAATTACAATGAAAAGAAACAAGTTCATATCATGAAAGAAGAGAAAGACTAGTGTCTCACAGAATTCTACACTTTCTAAAATGATCAACTGATACATCTAAAGATGCACAACAGCGACAATCACCAAAACATATGCTAAATCAATAATGATTAAAAACTATTTATGAAAAAAATGGGTCTGCAATCAAAGACAATTTACCTAGATATACATGAACATGATGAATGGATTTCTGATGTGGACATTATACCAAATTTGAAAGAAAACGAAAATGGCTTAGTGGTGGGCCATCATTTGGCCATAAGGAAATGATGTGCTTAGATTCTACTTGGCAAATGATTTGATGTAACCTACAACATCTGTACAAGGGAAATGTTCTCACAGGCAGTAGTAATTTTCAACTAGAAGTTCCATTTTCTGGTTGTTATAAATTAGTAAAAAAATACATACAGGCAGTGTTTGTAAATAAACATGAAAGTCAATCATTGTCAATGGTACTTGTCATAACCCGCATATTAAATTAAAGGTAATACTTTTTGTCTGTCCTCAATAGGCTCTTCAAATTCTATCGGGAGAAACCTCAAGGATCCCTCTCTAAATGTTAGAACAATGTGCATGTGAAGAGAGATGACAATTCAGAAACAGTTCTGAATATTGATTAGTTTCAGCAACATATCTCTTAATACCATGGAAACTGGTAATGCAAGGATATAAATGTTTAACAATGTACTACATCCATAGTGCCCTGCAGTGTGAGAATCTATATACATGTACTTGTACTTAATATCTGTGGTAATAAGCATCTATGAAACGTTCCTCATGTATCATGTATATTATCATGAGTACCTAGGTCTTGTGTGATTTGTTTATGCTCTGCTTATGTGACAATGCCACCAAAATGGCAGATTCTACACGTTGTTCGAAAGTGCTTGTGCAATGAAAATAACTGTTTACAACCACAATTTGGACATGCAGTATAACAGTTTCTATTTTTTTTTTAAAGTTCTAAACAGCTAAAGAGTACATCCTCTCATCCAATTACAGTTGACCAATGAAATTTATGTCTGGGTAAAAATTCTCATAAAGGTTATTGTAGATGATTGATAATGGGTGTGTACATAACTATGTCTGTCTGAGATATACAACATGTGTGAGTGTTTTGTTTGTTTGTTTGTTTGTTGTTTAACGCCGCAATCAGCAATATTCCAGCTATATGACGGCGGTCTGTAAAATGATCGAGTCTGGACCAGACAATCCAGTGATTGACATCATGAGCATTGACTCACGCAATTGGGATTGATGGCATGTATCAACCAAGTCAGCGAGCCTGACCACCCGATCTCGTTAGTCCCTTTTTATGACAAACGTGTGAGTGGATAATACCCGATAACAACAAGACTTTCGTCAACTAGTCAGTAATTCATTATCACCAAAGTATCCCATTTGCATTGTTACCTGGATATGATGAAATTGATGCTTTTTTCTCAGTACAGTGCCATTGTGTTGAGTTTTCCTTCACATTTAAGTTTCACTCTGTTTTTCCCGATGTAATTATTCAGAGGTTATTGGATACTGGATTCCTATTTCAATCTCCATGTTAACTTGTAACCATTGTAACAACAGCCACACTGGCACTTGTTCAACCTTACTTCCTAGCAATCACATTACTGTCCCCATGATCAGCTGAGTCATAAACATTGGACCTTAAAGAAGTTAATTCCACTTACTCTTTACACTTGATCTGCAACACTGGCAATTGACATTATTCACATTATTGTTTGTTTTTTTAACATCACACTCAACAAAACTCCAGTTATAGTGATTGTGGTTGCCTGTAAATTATCATGTCTGGGCCACACAATCCAGTGACTGATATCATGAGCAATGATCTACACTGATGGACACACCATCAGCCAAGTCACCAAGCCCATCTACTCCATCCATTAAGTCAACTCTTATGACCAGCATAGGTTGATGAGGACTAATTCTAATCCGAAATCCCCATAGGGGTGAGATTAATCATAAACACGGTAGCTAAGCTAAACATATTTCAATTTCAGTCCTATAAGTTAGCTTATAATAATCAACAGGTTGCACAAAAATTTCAAGTTTGTAAAGATAAGGGTCGTAGAATACAAAACGTTTGGCACACAGTTAATTTTGATCATGAATCATGTGAATTATAGATATGCAATGCAAAACTGAATTCACCTGTCAGGGATTTTCTAGGATTGGTAGACAAATTGGATTTTCTCCACAAATTGCAAATCATTTATTAATTTCTTCTTATTATTATTAATTTTCTCAGATTCTGATGTATTCTTGAATTCCATATAATGCAATGGTGTAAGGCTACTGGTAAGTAGGTATGAAATCCAGTTATCAGTTAAATACAAGTTACATCTGAAACAACAAAATCATGAATGATAATAACCTGCATCAATGGGGAAATTGTTGATGCCACTTTGGAAACTTTTACAGACATTTACTGTATCCTCTAACACCTTCTTTATAAGTCCCTGGCTAATGGCATACTATGAACTATTTGAATTTGTTATGGTTATTTATAATAGACTTATGCTTATGCTAAACTAAGAACCTATCATATAAAATCTACATTTATATATGGATTACCAATATGGCATTAACCATGAATATCCCGTACATTCATTTTTTTTACTCATTTCTTAACTATCTTAAGTCCATAGATTTCTTTTACTGCCATAAAACTATAAGGTTGGTGTGTGTGTTTCTTTTATGGTGCAGATCTAATTGAAATCGCATACGTGGTAAAGTGCAACACTCCCAATTCTTTAAATCAATACATAATCACATGTAAATACACTATATTGATAATATGCAACCATCCATAGATTTAATTTGAAATTTAACCATGTTAACAAAAAAAATGACAAAAGCCAGAAATTTCTGGAAAATCATCACAGCAATAGTCAAAACTAACCATGCTAATATCAAATTGATCATTTGAAATTAACTGAATATAATCGGGTTATAGCGAAAACGGCACCTCAGCAAAACGTCACCGGGCGAAAACGGCACCTCGACTCAAGCGCAAACGGCTACTACAGTGATCGCTCGCTATTGCGCTACCAATGGGGTCCAAATAATTGGTGGGCGTTATAGACGATGAGCCGTTTAACCGAGGCCGAGGCGGGGGAGCGCGCTCGGCAAATCTCAAATCATCAATATGTGTTTATCTCACGTCACGTCAAAATAGTATATATTTTTATGGACCTAGATCTACCTGTAATATCATTCATTTATTAAATCTGTCATATTTCACAATGTCTGAAATACGTATTCCATTCTAATTTATCATTTTTTATCAATAAATTAAAAAATTATTCACTATTTCCCGCGATGTTATTGAAAATAAAATTCTCGGACACACATTTCGACAACGGGTCCGCATCAAACATGTCAAAGAGCAAAATAAAGACTATTTTAAGCAAATCTTTAAATATATTATACAAAGTGATAAATAAAATCAACAAAAATATATCTAAAAGTAATCAAACTTACATCTAAGTTATTATTTCCATCGTTTCGTGCGATCACGTGTAATTTAAGTCAAATGACATCTCGGCTTTCGTCGCCTTGAATTCTCGGCTCGGACACAACGTTTAATGCAAAAATATATGCATGAAAAATCTTTGTCACAGCTCGTAACCTAGCACGATACATTCGCAAAGTTCCATATTTTTAATATATGTCGTGATTTCCTGCTTAAAACGTTCAGAATAACACGATTTAACAAAAAATCTTTCGCTAACTTCTGAAATTACTTACTTACTTACTTACTTTGGAGATTTAACGTGCGCTTTCCGACTGATGCGTATTTCGCACACGGGCCCGGCCAGGCCATTTAATGTGTTTCCGAAAGGGGCGAAGGTGGTCTGTGCAACCCAAGAGGGGGGTTTTAGGGGTTGCTTATATAGAATTTGGGAATTTTGAGATTTGGAATAGATGCCGATGGGATTGGGGAGGAGAACTAAGGGAAATTCTGAAATTTATCAAACACGAGCTTTGTATCACAGCTTGATTGGCTGCCTGAGGTCACGTGCTCAAAATTGACCAATCACGAAACTTGTAGCAGATTTCGGCAAGAAAGCGTCATTAGAAACAAATTTTAATCCAATGAAATCGCTTGTTATAACTACGGGGAAAAAAGAGGCGATGTTACGAAAGCGCGATTACGAAATGAATGACCGCCGTGTTGTGACAGCAACTACATGTGTGTGACAGTTTAGCCTTAAATTGGATTGCCCACTAATTAAGAATATAAACTTCACTTGTGGTTCTCTTTTATTGCATGCATGCGCTTCTAAGATTAAAGGATGTATAGTGTGAAAAGTTAACGAGTAGAACAATCGTATTTCCGGGACCTGCCGCGGATGTTTTCAAACAGATTATTAGAACTCCATTCAGCGATAAACCGTTGATTATGCAATGAGAAGCGTTATGTGCAAATAAACAACGAACAACAATACAATCATGTCTGTGTAAAACTCTCAGTATTAAAAGTGTACATAAATTTTGGGAGCCATGCGTTACCGCGCGTAATAACCGAAGTAGCGCTTTATCGAAGAGCGCAATAGCGAGCGATCACTGTATCATGACTATTGCCTGGCGAAAACAGCACCTTATTTTCTTTTTACCTTGGTCAAATAAGTGCTATTAAACTTATATGGTAACTTGCAAACACCAATAATTGTGAGATGCTAAAACAAGTTTACATTAGAAATTAGCCTCTACTCCAACTATAATCCAACTTAGCTTATATGCAACACAACTTATTGTGAAAACATGACATGCTTTGAAGAAAAATAATAGAAATTAAACTCACGTCGTCTCTTACAAACACAAATAATTGTGAAATAAAACAAGTAAGAAATTAGACCCCTACTCCAATTTACTCGCCGACTGATGTGAAAACACTATACGCTTTGAAGTTTTAAGTACCTTTACTCAATTTAAACTGAAACTGTATTTAAGAGGCCTAACATGGTGCTGTCAGATCACAGTTATTCACAATGGCCTTTTGATGTGTTGCATGAGAGAAGAATGTCAGAAAACAACAACATGCTATGATAACTGGTACCATGTAAATAAACCATGTATATTACTACAAAAATCGTTCTTATTAAAAATAGAGGTGCCGTTTTTGTCAAATGCGGTGCCGTTTTCGCCAGAGAAATCGTTGCCGTTTTAGCCTGCACCCATATAATCATTATCAATGATTATATACTGAACAGTGTTAGAAACTAACAGTTTTAGTCCACTAGTCCTTATAATGATAACGTATAAGAAAACCTTAAAACGGGCAAATTTGTACCAGTCCTTATGATACCTTAACTATTGGGGAGTTTGGCAAGGACTATGGGACTAGTGCCAATTCTAACGCTGCTGAACTTGACTCTCAACAGATTTGCAACATTAGACAAAGTTAATGAAATGGTATTGGTAAGGACATCATCAGAAGATGAAAGTATGCTATCATTGACCTCATTCTATTTGCAAGGTACTCTAACTTTTTCATACAATACATGCACACACAAAAAGATTTGACTGTTGGACGACAAAAAATAATACAAAATACATACTTTCTACATGCAGCAAAAGACACTTAAAACTGAAACTTGACACCTCAAAAGAAGCATAAATATGATTATGGTCATAACCTTAAAGAATATATGATACAAATGTTGCAACTGTTAATTGCCCATGATGAGGACAACTCTGGTATCCAAGAGATGGGAGGGAGGCCTGTCAGTTGCTCTCCACGGGAAAGAAGGAAGAGGTGAATGTTACAACTGACAGGAGTGCATTTAGTTTATGGACTACTTATGAAAGTAGCTCGAATATACCATTTGATATATTTGAAACAGAAGACAGTATGAGACAGTTACGTATCAACTTAAGCAGTCGAGAGTCACCTGGCAAAAAATAGTAACAACCAGGATATAAATTAGGTAGACCCATAACACAAACAAACCTGCGACATTTGAGGACGCGGGCTGAATTCTTTCAGATCGACGCTTGAAGGATATAGTTGATTTAGCAAATGGCAAATTAGAGATCCATCTCGGAGAGCTTGTGCTAAATCAAAGGCATTTGCATCAGATCGTGTGGCTTTGTGGTCTTCTGGTAAAATCTGGCACCTGACGAGCCACTCAACGCACAGTCTCCAATCGTCCGCCATCTTGCGTCTTCTTCCTCTTCCTGCCTGAAATTAAAGAGAAATAAAGAACGATGGAATATAATTATCTATGAATGAAAAATATGTATGTCACAGATAAAGTCTTGTAGACAGATAATTGGTCCGCTACATGTTATTTACCAACATTAGATAGGAAAGATATTTTTCATAATCTTCCGGTCATCGCGGTCTGAAGAGTGACTATATTCAACCCGGAGAACCGGATGTCCATTCTGCCACTATACTACTTCCGTTAATGGTTACCAGGTGCGAGGTCTACATTTGTACTGTTTCAAGTGACTGCACTCACGTGTCAACAAGTCAGTCTGTCTTAAGTGAATCAAGAAATCGCCAGACGTCAGTGGAAAGAAATAGCCATCATCCTAAACAATGTTTTTCTACCCACGAATGACAGGAAAGGTAAATGAGAGTTGTCAATGTCAACAAATCGTGCGTGCTTGTAGATAAGATTGTTTTGCAAAAATGATTCGCTATGTACTTGTGGGAACACTAATTGTTATAGTGATAAGACTTTGATATAAATGATAAAGGTGTAGACGTGTTGTAAACATTTGGGGGTTGTCTGAAATAAATGCTTCTTTTTTTTAAATTATATAATTTTTTGGTTATTGAGTGAGTGAGTATTGTTTTACACCGCCTTTAGCAACATTCCAGCAAAATCACGGCGGGGGACACCAGAAATGGGCTTTACACATTGTACCCATGTCAGAAATTGAACCCGGGTCTTCGGCTTGACGAGCGAACGCTTTAACCACTAGGCTACCACTAGGCTTGGTCAGTGTTGGCCATGCAAGCACTTAGAATTTTCTCATGTGACAGATTTTCTCCTTGTGGAAGTGCTGATTGTTGCAGTTCTGCATTGCACAAATTTTGATATTCCATCACACAACCTTCTATGGAGATGTCCTCAGATCTCAATACAGAGAGGTATTAAGATCTCACTTTAAACACCCTAGACATATAAATGCCACATGGGAACCTTTGTCAGGTAATCTGAGTAATAAATTCATTAACTGAGCATTAAGTGAATGACAACAAATACACAGGTGTAATGTTATACCTGAAATGTGGATGACAACAAAGGAGTCGTAATTGTTGTGTTATTTGCAATTATGTTGTCTAAAAAATAAGGATCGTTGCTTTTTTGAATGTATGAACTGAACTTCATTGTTGTAAAAATAATATGTACACATATTTGCTGTATACTAAAGTACATAATTGTTCATACACATTTACTTTGATGGTTTGTTTTTACTATGCCCCGTCCAAATGAAGTTTTGCAGGGGATGTAGAAACTAGGGCTGGGACGAGTCCAAATTTACTACCCGGGTACGCACCCCACTATTACCCGTCCCTACCTGGGTACCCACTGTAGGTCTCAGGAGATGTTTCAAAATGTCTGATTGGGAACATTTTTAGGATAGACCAGGCAAAACGTATTTAGATACATGTATCAAACAATTTTGTCATTCATACGCTGAAGTTGAATTAAGTTATATTTTTATTCAACCATATGAAAAATCAGAAAGAATGGGTGCATAGTCAGAAAGAAATGCGAGCATTCGTGACTTGTAGTGTAACCATAGAGTTTTAGATCATTTTTCCCTTTTAACAATATATCACGTGACTAACCTGTGAACCACAGGTCAGGGTAGTCCTGTGGGTACCCGGGTCCTACTCAGTACCCACCCGACCCAGGTACCCGAGTTACCCGTCCCAGCCCTAGTAGAAATGTGGTTTGTCGTGTTTTGTTTCCGGGACATAACTCATAAACCTTTCAATATTTCTCCATGCAACTTTGTATGCACACCAGGCAGTTTTTAATTATGGTTATTTATTGCATTTCCATGTCAACAAGTTGGAAACAAGGGTGTGGATAATTTCATGAGCGTAGCTCATAAAATGTTTTTCATTTCATTGTATCTGGCAAGTGCTGGACTGGTGGGTTTTGCTATTGAGGTTGTGTTTTAGATTTTTTTATTTAACAAGTTGAACTAAGGTTCAGATGAGTGTTTAATTTTGTGGTTTCGTCATCTGTCAATATGTCAGTTGTACTACCAAACCCTTTTAGGTATAATGAGGTATATGACATAAACATTGTTTGATTTATGCACATATTTGAATGGGGATATTGATGACTTTATATTCTTGTTCTGTTTACATCTGATAGTCGATAGTATACAATAACCACATGCAATGGCAAAATTGGTTCTTATTTACGTTCTTAAATGAATAAGATGTCTATTTTTAATATTTCCAAATAATTGCATCCGATGAGCTACCAATGTTACATTCTAGCCCAGGCTCATCACACTCAGTTGGGTTGCCAGCAAATCAGCTAATGAGCCAAGCAAACAGTGTCAGATAGACGAATAGAAGCCAGAGTCTAGTGCCCCTTTAAAACAACCCCAAAATTATATACAATTATTACATATTATGAGCATGAAAACATTTATTTTTCTACAATAGCAGGACAGAAGCATTTTTCTTATTATGGCTATTTAATCGATTTATTAATTTACCTTATTATTTAACCTGGTGTTATTACTGTTTTAGAGTGATAAGATAAGGGAAGTAACACTAACCTAATTGCCTAAACAAATAAGAGTAAGGAACAAAGCGTCAGTGGCTGGCCCATGGATGCCGACTGACAATAATTTCAAGCTACATCTTGCGTCATTGACTTCAAGTGGAGTGAGTGACTGAGTTGTGTTTAACACCGCTTTGAACAGTATTCCAGTTATATCATGGCATTAGTCTGTCTTACAGACCCTGATACAAATCTATATCAAATACAGCCCATGCAAGTCTATAATGTTTGGCAAGTCTAGATTACTGCAGTATAAGGAAAATGTAGAGAGTCACTGGGCTGGCTCTCTTTTATTATATTTTTGTTAAGATAACTGAACAACTGTTTTTTCTGTACGATATGTTCATTTCAGAGACTAGATGTTAATCTAATCATGGCATGTCAGCTTCATGTTGGGGGAAAACCCAAAGTGATGCAGGTCTTAGACAGTTACAACTTTGGTGACACCCACGAGTACAGATATGGTGCTGACAAACCTAGAAACATAATCGGGCGAACAGGGATTCGAACCCACGATCATTGGTTTCTTGCATGCCCAAGGGATGCAACTCTGCACAGCGAATTGCGACTCCTGAGACGTGCCCCCAAGTCAAGATGAACATGATCTATAAGACCTACTTCATAATGTATTATCCTAACAACTGAAATATATTAATCCTATCAACCCTTTTTAAACAGTTCTGTTTGGTCTTGTCAAATGATAGATTTATGGATTCTTGTCCTTGTTGATACCTTGTCCAACCTTGTTTTGATCTTTTCCATTTGACATGGAAGAATTCAGTGTTATTTTTGCCTCTTCATTTTAACTTGTCAGTTTAGACAAATTTAGATGACGTAAATATTTGATACGGTTTTGTGCAAGAAAAGGCCTTATGAAATGTACAATTGTAGTACAGGAAACTGGACACAAAATTAATTCGTAAATTATTTCCATTTTGACTAACAAGTGACTTTCATGTTTTACCAATTACAGGCGGTCCCTGAAAGGGGGTGGCATTTCAGCACTTTCACTTGAACATTTAAATACTTTTTACGAATGTCATGATATATTATTCTTGGGAATTGACGTTATGTTTCTTGGAAAATTATGTTTGCAACAAAATCGCAATAACATTTTTCACAGTACTTGAACTTTAATTCCGATAAAAAACCCATTCATAACTCTGATCTCAACCGATGTTGCTTCACTCAATTTGGTAGAATGGAGATAAACAAAGTAGAGTGTTGTTCAGCTCCAAATTCAATTTAGCATGGTTTAATCTATGGGCAACCTAGCTCTATTATGAAAACAAGTATGCTTGTTTCCTAATCACTCACTCACTCACTCATTCCAGTGAATTATACATAAGTATTATGCATGTACCCTCAATTGCATATACCCTCAATTAGGGGATAATTAACTGTGCAATTTAGAGGTTTCAAACATGGATTTAATACCTGTAAATTTAATTCAAAACCAAACACAGCAATATTTTTCAAGGTTGAAAAATGTACAGTTTTCAAATCTGAGTGACCTCTAAACATGCTAAATTTGAAACATGGTTGGTTGATTTCCTTGCTAAAATGAGAAAATATACTTCTTTTTTTTTTATAAATTCAAAGTGATACAATCATCAACAAAATCAATTGTAGATTTGATACCCCTGCGGGAATTAATGATGATTCTAAAATATAAGAATATATCGGACTCCAGAAGTTGTAGACATTTTGTGAATGTGTTGTGCAAACCCCACCTTCTTCCTTGTTGTGTATGACAGTTGATGCCCTGTGTTACCTAGCACGTCTGGCCGGGAGATATATGGCATATCACCTACCTTCCTGGAGAGTGTTCGGAATCTATATGTGCTCTTCCTTGGCATAGTGGAGATGTTGTTGTCAGTATTATCCTCACTGTTGTGTTGAAAGTGTGACCAGTGTTATATTAGAATGATGTATGGCATGTTGCTGACCTTTTGATGATATACATTAGGTAAATATGTGATACTGTCTCCATCAATCAATTGCCCTTACTTGACATCTCTGATATTAATCCACTGTCAGTCCGTCATGCAATACCTAATCATAGTCTTAGATGATTTTTGCTATATCAAATATCTGGTTATATTTGTTGTTGTGTACTTTACACATTATACTAGCTTGTCTTTGGTTGATCTGTGGTTAAGGGCTGTGGACTAGCCTAGTGGGCAAAGTGTTCTCTTGTCGTCACATCAAAGGCCTGTGTTCTATTTCCCACATGCTATAATATCACTCAGGGTATATACGGTTTTATGTGTCCTGCATTAGGTTTATACCATGATCCGGAGGTCAAAATACAAAAGATTAGAAACCACATAAAAACCATGATACCATGCTACAACAAATTTATCTTGCCAACATGTTTTAATCTGCTAATGTAAAATAATTAAAACAAATTGAA